AGGACCAGGCTGCAGCCAGGAGCCAGGAACTCCATCCGGGTCTCCCACCCCTACCCGGCTGACAAGAACCCGAGTACTTGGGACCGAGTGCTCCCTCCCAGAGGCATCAGCAGTAAGTTGGGGCAGAGCAGAGAGTAGCAAGACTCAAACCCAGCCCTCTAATACGAGATGGAGGCACCCCATGCGGCGGCTTAACCCTCTGCACCCCAGTGCCAGCCCCTCCTCTGTACCTTCAGAATTGTGTGCATGGACAGAGGCTGCGCTAATACCTAGAGAAGCTATAGGAGAGTGCGTGTACGAGACCACTGGGCTCCCCTGGGTGCAGAGAACATGCCCGGCTTGTGCTGTGTCTCAGAACTACTCAGGGTCAGGTTGTTCGTCAACCAGCCAGTGGCTCAGAGAGACCTTGGACTCTTACAACTCCAAACAAGCAGAAATTGCCCCCAAAGATCCGGATGGGGCTGCCTAGTTCCATGACCGGTGGACTTGGGACTTGAGGGTAGTAGAAAGGGGCCAGATCCCACTTGGCTCTCTAAGTGAGTCTACCATGCTGTGGGACCTGGGGCACACCCTTTCCTGCTTTTGGGTCTCAGTCTCCCTAACTGTCAAATGGGCACAGATGCAACCAAGTCCGTGTTCCTCGACTTTTTCCTTCTTTTGTTTCTTTTTTTTTTTTTTTTAATTTTTGACAGGCAGAGTGGACAGTGAGAGAGAGAGACAGAGAGAAAGGTATTCCTTTTGCCGTTGGTTCACCCTCCAATGGCCGCCGCTGCAGCCGGCGCACCACGCTGATCCGATGGCAGGAGCCAGGAGCCAGGTGCTTTTCCTGGTCTCCCATGGGGTGCAGGGCCCAAGCACCTGGGCCATCCTCCACTGCACTCCCTGGCCACAGCAGAGAGCTGGCCTGGAAGAGGGGCAACCGGGACAGAATCCGGCGCCCCGACCGGGACTAGAACCCGGTGTGCCGGCGCCGCAAGGTGGAGGATTAGCCTATTGAGCCACGGCGCCGGCCTTTTTTTTTTTTTTTTTTTTTTTTTTTTAATTTCTTTTGTTTCTTAAACTCATTCCCGCTTATAATAAAGATGAGAATCTCACACCCTTCCTGGAGAATATCTTCTTATCCCAATAACCTCTGGAATTCAGCAGAGGGCTTCCTGAAGCCATGGTGCCCCTCCAGCACACGGCCTGGGACCACTGGTGCCGGGGCTCCTCTGCTGTTCCCTCTGGGTGTCGAGTGCCCCAGCCCCCGACACGGAGGACCTGGGTAAGGAACGCTGGGTAAAATGCAGCAGGGCCTGGTTTGCTAGCTCTGGCAAGTTCAAATGTGAACTCCGCATGTAGGCATTGTGACTACAGGCACGTTCCTTCTTTCCCTCCCTCTCCCCTCCCCCTCCTTCCTTCCCTCTCTCCCTCCTTCCTTCCATCCCCCACCCCTTCTTCCTCCTCTTTTGTTTTCTTCCCTCCTCCTTTGCTCCTTTCTTTCTTCCTTCCATTGGTTCAGCCCCCAAATGGCCGCTACAGCCGGCACTGCGCAGATCCGAAGCCAGGAGCCAGGTGCTTCCTCCTGGTCTCCCACGCAGGTGCAGGGCCCAAGCACTTGGGCCATCCTCCCCTGCCTTCCCAGGCCACAGCAGAGAGCTGGCCTGGAAGAGGGGCAACCGGGACAGAATCTGGTGCCCCGACCAGGACTAGAACTCAGAGTACCTGTGCCGCAGGCGGAGGATTAGCCTAGTGAGCTGTGGCGCTGGCTGCTCCTTTCTTTCTAATTGTGTCAAGCACATTGGCCCTGGGCTTTTTTATTTTTATTTTTTAAAATTTTAATTTAATTGAAAGGCAGAGAGAGAGAGAGAGAGAGACATCGACAGAGATCTATTGACTGGTTCACTCCCCAAATGCCAACAGCCAGGAGACCAGAAGTCTATCTGCGTTTCCAGGGTGGGTGGCAGAGACCCAAGTGTGTGAACCCCCTCCTGCTGCCTCTCAGGGTTTGCATTAGCCGGCGGCCAGTTGGGAAGCGGAACCAGGACTCGAACCACGCACTCTGATAGGGGCTGCAGCTCAACCGGGGCACCAAATGCCCACACCCGGCCCTGATTTTAGATCTGCAGCTTCGTGGATGCTTGCATCTGCACCCAGTTCTGCAACCACCATCCAGATCCAGCACCCCAGAACATTCCCCATGCCTGCTTCCTTCTGGCCGGTACCTCCCCCAGGGGGTGCCCTTTTCCCCACATCCTCTGTTATTGCCAATTCACTTTCCTGGTCTTGAATTTCATAAAAGTGGAGGCCGGCTGGTAGCGTGGGCTCTTCAGTATTTGGCTTTTGTTTCTCAACATGTTGTCTGGGATCCATTCATAGTTTCCTTTTCGTTGCTGTGTAATAGTCCATCATGTGATTTGTGTGAAAACAACAGTTCCCTGACTCCCGGTTGAGTTGTAGTCCTGTCTGGCTGCCAGCTAATGCACAATTCTTATGCGAATGTTCTGGTGAATATGTTTTGGGTTTGCTCCTGGCTGGGCTTGGTCCAGGTTCTCTCTCTCTCTTCTTCTTCCTTTTTTTTTTTTTTTTAAATATTTGTTTATTTATCTGAAAGGCAGAGTTATGGGGGAAGGAGAGAAGGAGAGAGAGAGAGGGAGAGAGGTCAATATTCCATTTTCTGGTTCACTGTCCAAATGGCCACAACAACTGGGGCTGGGCCAAGCTGAAGCCAGGAGCTTTATCCAAGACTCCCATGGAGGTGGCAGGGGCCCAAACACTTGGGCCACCTTCCTCTGCTTTTTCTCAGGCTATTAGCAGGGAGCTGGATCAGACGTGGAGCAGCCAGGACTCGAATTGGTGTTTATATGGAATAATGGTGTCACAGATGGTGGCTTAACCCACTGTGCCACAGTGCCAGCCCCTGGCCCAGGTCCTTGTCTGCACACAGGAATTAAAGGAGAAAACATAGGTAGACGTGAGCAGGAAAGCAAGAGGGTTTTTTTTTTTTTTTTTTAGGAGAAAGTACATACTTGAGGAATTAGTGTGGGCAACCTCAAGAGAGGAAGCTGCCATCAACAGGGTTTGGGGCTATCCTTTTTTTTTTTTTTTTTTTTTTTGACAGGCAGAGTGGACAGTGAGAGAGAGAGACAGAGAGAAAGGTCTTCCTTTACCGTTGGTTCACCCTCCAATGGCCGCCGCGGCCGGCACACCGCACTGATCCGAAGCCAGGAGCCAGGTGCTTCCTCCTGGTCTCCCATGCAGGTGCAGGGCCCAAGGACCTGGGCCATCCTTCACTGCCTTCCCGGGCCAGAGCACAGAGCTGGCCTGGAAGAGGGGCAAACGGGACAGAATCTGGCACCCCGACTGGGACTAGAACCGGGGGTGCCGGCGCCGCAGGCGGAGGATTAGCCTAGTGAGCCTGGCGTTGACCTAGGGCTATCCTTTTTATACTATCTGAAGGTAGGGTCTGGGGTGTGGCTTCAATGAATATTCAAAAGGGTGGGGTTTGGGGCGGGGCTTGAGTATCACCATTTCTGCGCAGTTTTTTTTTGGGAAACCTCAGAAGTATCACGGCACCAGGTACATGATGGGAATGGGTGTGTCAATCATGGTAAATTTATTGTAATGACCTTACAGGTCATCGTGAGCACCCAGCCTGCAGCCATATTGGATATTTCTAGCTAGTGCTGGTTCTTGGAGGGGGTGGGGTGCGAAACCCCCCTGCAGCTGTGGCTCACCTCGAGCAGGCAGGGTTTGGGGTGGTGCGGGTGGGGCAGTGGCAGTCCTCAGCTCCAGCTTGCTAGCCACGCCCCCTGCCTGCATTGGATGTGCGTTGTCTCATCCCTTGGGGGTATATGTCAGCGTGGGGATGTGTTCAGGGGCTGCTGTGAGCAAGCTTCTGCATCTCCCCTCTGGAGTGGGGAGAATCATATCAATGCCTCTCTTAAAGGATGGTTTTGAGATTAGATGAGCTAACGCAGGTGCAGCGTTGAGAACTGGTTCATTGAAGTTCCTGGAACACGCGTCCTGGGAGCAGCAGTGTCGGGTAGCGTGAAGACACCACGCTCGCTGCTGTGAACCTTCAATGTCCCCAGGAGGTGGAAGGCACAAGGAGCCTCGCTGGAGTTGGGGATGCTCCAGGGTGTCATGATTATTATAATGTTATTATAATGTGTTCAAAGGAGACAGCGGGACGTCGAGTCAAACATGGGTTTCGCCCAATTCATGTTTTATGATTAAAGAAAAAATTAGTAGTAGGCACTGAGAGTGTTGTATGGCTTTTCTTTTTCATCTTTGTTTTATTGCTTGATGATGCTGAAAATAGGGTGGTGGAGATAGGCCACCAACGCTGACCCAAAGGCCACTTCCCACACCCCCAGGTCCCTGTCTCGGTGCCTGAGTCTTCCCAAGCACAGTGAGCGCCCGATGAGCTTTGAGCTCCACCAATCCCGGCTCCAGGTCTAGCTCTGGCCAGGGAAGGGGCCCGAGGCCGGCCGCTCGTAACTCTGGGATACGGGAGCAAAAAGCCACGCATGCCCATGGCCCAGACTCCCTCCTTGTCCTCTGCTCGCCGATGTCCTAGGATGGCCCTGGGCTGACTGGCTAGCCCTGGGAACCCTTGCCCTGTGTCTCTGGCCTCCCCTTGGGGGGCTGCTAGGCAGATCCCCCTCTCACCCTGCAGGCCAGGCCCACAGTGGTCCCGGGAACAACCTTCCCCTCCCCCAGGGCGGCGGCAGGAAGAGGGAAGAAAGAGGATCGCCTCCAGCTGGCCCGGGAGACAGATCTCCCTGTGCTCATCAGCCCTCCAAGAACACCCGCCCCTCCCTCTTCCCCTGCCTCCCCCCAGCCTGTCCACAGGGGTTTGGGATCAGCCAGAAAAGTCAGGCAACTCGTCAGGGGCCGGCAGCCAGCAGGGGGAGAGGTCTCCCAGCTGCCTGGGTCCAGTGCAGTGCTAAGCAGAGCCCCACCCCTCGGGCTCTGCCCGGCTCCATACTTTGACCCTGCCCTCCGGTCTCGGTCCCGGCTGGCAGGCAATCGGCTCCCAGAAGCTGAGGCTCTGTCAAGATACAGGACCCCGTGCTCCGGCAGCCACCTCCTTTCTGCAGAAGCTAGGCACAGCCGGTGAGTGGCAGGTGCACCTTCAGGCTGGGGGTGGAAGGCAGGAGCCAGTGTCCTCCAAGGCACTGGCACATCAGGGCAGGTGACAGAGACCTGGGTGGACTTGCAGAGAGAGGAGGCTCTCTCCAGCCCTGGAGGCAAACAGGGCCAGCAGGTGAGTGATTGCATCTCTCCAATCCTCAGTTGCTTCATCTGGAACATGGGGTCATAGCTCACCTCTTACAGGGTGAATTGGAGTCCTGTAGGCCATTTGTATCTGCACATTTTGCATCCGGGGTTAAAAATATTTCAAGTAGTTGCATCTGTCCTGAACTTGTACACTTTTTCCCCTTGGTATTATTTTCTGAACAATACAGTATAACCACTACTTCCATAGCATTTACATCGTGTTTGGTATTTTTATAAATCCTCTAGCGATGAATTAAAAACTGTGAGAGGATGTGGGTAGATGCTATGCAAATACTCCACCATTTTATGGGTGGGACTGGAGCAAGATTTTAGTACCCACAGGAACCAATGTTCCACAGATGCTGAGGACAACTGTGTTGAAAGAGGTGATGAATGGGAAATACTTAGCATAGCACTGGGCACACAGCAGGCACTCAGTCAATAGCAGTTATTATTGTTGTTAGTACTCTTTTTGGGAGGGAGACTGGGCAGCCTGGTTCTCAAACTTTTCAGCCTCTGTTCTGTTCATATATATATGGCAGGAGCCAGGTGCTTCTCCTGGTCTCCCATAGGGTGCAGGGCCCAAGCACTTGGACCATCCTCCACTGCCTTTCCGGGCCACAGCAGAGAGCTGGCCTGGAAGAGGGGTAACTGGGACAGAATCCGGTGCCCCAACCGGGACTAGAACCTGGTGTGCCGGCGCCGCTAGGCTGGCTCTAAAATATATTTTTAGAAGATTTTATTTATTTATTTGAGAGGTAGAGTTACAGACAGTGAGAGGGAGAAACAGAGAGAAATGTCTTCTGTTTGTTTACTCCCCAAATGACTGCAATGGCCAGAGCTGCGCCTATCCGAAGCCAGGAGCCAGGTGCCTCTTCCTGGTCTCCCATGCAGGTGCAGGGGCCCAAGGACTTGGGCCATCCTCCACTGCTTTTCCAGGCTACAGCAGAGAGCTGGGTTGGAAGAGGAGCAGCCAGGACAAGAACTGGCGACCATATGGGATGCTGGCACTGCAGGCGGAGGGTTAACCTACTGCGCCACGGTGCCTGCCCCTGTTCTGTTCATTTTTAAGGCCAGGCCAAAGCTGGCAGCCAGGGACTCAACCTTGGTCTCCCAGGACTCAGCCACTTGAGCCACCATCTGCTGCCTTCCTTAGTCAGAAGCTGGGATCAGAAGCAGAGTCAGAACTCGAACGCAGCACTAAGATGTGGGGATGAGACATCCCAAGCGTCAGTGTAACTGCTAAACCAAATGCCCACACATACTCTGTTCCATTTAAAGGATACACTGGGGGCCAGTGTCGTGGCACAGTGGGTTCAGCTGGCATCCCATATCAGAGTAGTGGTTCACATCCCACCTGCTCTTCTTCCAATCCAGCTTCCAGCTAATGTTCCTGGGAAGGCAGTAGAAAATGGTCCCAGTCCTTGGGCCCCTGCCACCCATGTGGGAGACCCAGATGGAGCTCTAGGCTCCCAGCTGTGGCTGGAGGTTGCCACCATTTGGGGAGCAAACCGGTGGATAGAAGAGCTCTCTTCTATCCCATCCATCACCTTTCCCTCTCTCCCTGTGTCACCCTGCCTTTCAAATAAGTAAAAATAACCCTTAAAATAAAATAAAAGATAAACTGAAGGCATCGGCTTCATAAGAAGTAGTTGTGGGGCACAGCCGGGAGAGCCGGTACTGTTCTCTAAAGTGCTATACCTGCTATGAGCACGCAGCAATCAAAGGCACAAATTACTCTTCAGGAGACAAAGGGATTTGTGTTTAGGCAAATGGACACAGAACAAAAGACAACGGAAACTATCAAGTGCCAATTTGTTGCTGTCTGCCTGCATATAAATATTTTTAGGGTCCAGAGCCAGGCATTGTCCCATGCTGGCGATGTGACCCTGAGTTGAGCGGCCTCCTCCTCAAATCTCCATCCCTGTCTGTAGGGTGCAGGTACTACAGCCCCACCTCCTCCAGCAGCGAGAGGACTAAGGGGATGGCATCTTCAGGAGGCAGAGACCACACTGTGTTTCCTTCCTGCCCCAGGCTGGCATAGGCACTGTGATTGCACACACACAGCTCGGTGTGCTCACCCCAGCTGTCTGTGTCTTCTTGGATGTGTGTTCTGAGTGTTTGGTTGAAGTGACAGCACAAAACAGAGGTGAACTGCAAAACCAACAGAAAAAACAGACGCAGCAAGAAAACAGCTGACTGCAGAGCCGAGCGCTGGGCACGTGAGTCCCAAAGTTCAGCGCCCACATGCACACAAGTGATGGTAGCTGAGGCTGGTGCCCTCGCGTCTTACATAAGTAACTCCTGGATTCTGCTTCCAATAAGTAACTCATGGATTTCTATTGCACTCTAGGGAAATCAGGCACAGCTGATATCATCAGTATCAACTTTGATTTGTACAGTGTGTGTCTTTGGGGGGGCTTTCCAATAATAATTGACTTGGGACCCCCAATTTTCCCTTTTCTTGTTTTAAGATTTATTTATTTATTTATTTATTTATTTATTTATTTTATCGAGAGGCAGAGTTACAGACAGAGGGAGAGACAAGAGAGAGAGGTCTTCCACCCGCTGGTTCACTCCCCAAATGGCTGCAACAGCTGGAGTTGAGCCCATCTGAAGCCAGGAGCCAGGAGCTTCTTCTGGGTCTCCCATGTGTGTGCAGGGGCCCAAGGACTTGGGCCATCTTCTACTGCTTTCCCAGGACATAGCAGAGAGCTGGATCAGAAGTGGAGCAGCCTGGACTCGAACTGGTACCCATATGGGATGCTGGCATAGCAGGCTGGAGTCGTAACCTGCTGTGCCACAACACCGGCCCCAGCTTTGCTGATTTTTTAGGTGTTGTGAGGATGGAAAAGCAGGCATGAGCCCTGGAAAAAGGAGACCTGGGTTCACACCCCAATTCCTCCTCTAACTTTGACTGAACGTGCCTCTGTGAGCCTCAGCCTCTTATGTGGGGACTGTGCTCCTCACAGCTGTCTTTTGTGAGCACCCAAGTACTGTACAAGTGTATATTTTTTGATTCTCATAAGAACTCCATTCGTCCATCCACCCACTCATCCATCCACCCTTCTATCATGCACTCACCCATCCATCATCCCTCCACCCACCCATCCACCACCCATCCTCCCATCCATCACCCATCCTCCCATCCATCACCCACCCACCATCCACTCATCCATCACCCATCCATCCTCCCTCTGTTCTCCCATCCATCACCCACCCACCATCCATCCAGCATCCCTCTGTCCTCCCATCACCCAGCAGCCATTTATCCATCCATTAGTTCACGAAGTTTCTGCTGTGTGTCTCACTATTCCAGGCCCTGAAGAGAGAGCGACAGATAAGACCAAGGTCCTCGCTCTCCAGGCGCTGATGTTCTGCTGGGGAGACAATGACGTGGGGAGTTTTGTTTGCCCTTACATGGGAAATTGAGGCTCAATTCCGGTTGACCAACTCCTCTTGGTTTGCCTGGGTCCCTCCTGGATTCAGCATGGAAAGTCTGCATCCTCAGAACTCCGTTGGCCCTGGGCAAACTGGGGAGATTGTCGCCCTTGCTCAGACAGGTTAAGTGACTTGGTCAGGGGCGCACAGCTGTTGGGTGCTGGAGCTAGACTGTGAACCCGAGTGTGTCTGGCCCTCAGCCTCGGCTGTCCCATGCCACGTCAACTCTGGAATTCCTTATGGGGAACTGGTAGAACCCAAGAAAGCCCTTTGCTCCTCTGTCTTCTTGTTGTCAAGGTACAAAAGCGGTCAGTTCTGAAAATTACACAGAGGCAGTTAGAAGGCCCAGAGAGGGGAAGCAGCGTGGCCAAGGTCACACAGCCAGCCAGGTGTGGAGCCAAGTCTCACTCTCTTTCTCTTCTCTCCTTCTGTCTGCCTGCTGTGGTTTTCCAATGCAATTTTTTTTAAAGATTTGTTTATTTGAAAGTCAGAGTTACACGGGGCGGGGTGGGGGGGTCTTCCATCCGCTGGTTCACTCCCCAGATGGCCGCTGTCGCTCCCCGTCTTCGTGGGGAAACGACACTAAACCCTGCCTAGGTTTCCTATCCGAGTCACGGCACCATTATGTCGCTCCCCGTCTTCGTGGAGGAACGACACAGGACCCTGCGCTGTTCTTTCATCTGCTCGGCCCTTCCCGGGTTTGCTGCTGGTTCTTCCCGGGTTGGCTACCATCCCTTCCACCTCCGTGGAAGGGCGGTTCCCCCTGCCACATTCCCCACTTACGCGGGGGAGCGGCACACCGCTGGCCGGCTCTCTCGGGGGCTGCACAGGTGTTCCTTCAGATAGATGTTCCCCTTAGATGTTCCTGGTGCATGTTGTCTCTCTCCTCCTTTATAGTCCTCTTCCACCAATCCCAACTCTGCTACCCACACGCCGAGCGCGCCGCTCTCCTCCAATCAGGAGCGGCTTCTGCAGCTTGTCAAGTTGGTGAGAGGCAGCTGGGTAGAAGCTGTACGCTCCTCTCCCAGCGCCACATTGTGGGAGAGCAGATGCATAGAATAAGTCTTAATTCCAGTAACAGTATAGTCCGAGTTGCTCCCCACAGCCGCAATGGCCGGAGCTGCGCAGATCTGAAGCCAGGAGTCAGGAGCTTCCTCCAGGTCTCCCACATGGGAGCAGGGCCCCAAGGACTTGGGCCCTCTCCCACTGCTTTCCCAGGCCATAGCAGAGAGCTGGATTGGAAGAGGAGCAGCCGGGACTAGAACCGATGCCCATATGGGATGCCGGCACTTCAAGCCAGGGTGTTAACCCACTGCGCCACAGCACTGGCCCCTCCAATGTAATTTTTAAGGTGCTGGAGAACAGCAGGAGGCAACTAGGTACTGAGGGCCCACTGTGTGCCAGGCCCTGAACCAGGAGCCATCACCAGCCTTGTCGTTTGATTTTCAGGAGGTCCCCTTGGGATTGGGGTTACTTCTCTTGTACAGGTTAGGTCTCCTGAGGCACAGCATGGAGGAGGAGGGAAGGGTGGAAGTGGGGGCCCCTGGTGGGGTCTCCCTGTGCCCCCAAGTCCCCATGCCCAGGCTCTGGCCTGGGGGATCGACACCTTTCTATTGGTTGCTTGTATCTCTGACTTGGCTCCCAAAACCCCGACAGAGTCCAGCTCTTGCAGGCTGAAACTGTTCCCCTCTTTACAGAATTAGGCCACGTTGAGAACGTCCTACCGTCCAGGGCCACAGGCCCCAGTTGCCAGGAGCCAGGGCGTGTGGGAGGAGAGCTGGAGTGAAGAGGAGAGAGAGTTGAATTTGGCCTCTTGTTCCGTCTCAGCAGGAGCCGGCAGAATATTGTTGGCTGTGCGGGACAGAGCAACTTCAAGGTCAAAAGCTGCTTCAAGGTCAAAAGCTGCCAGGCCTTGTAGATGTTGAAAGGCCCCAGCCAGCCCAGCTTCCCAGGGCAGACAGGCTGAGTTCTGTGCAGGAAGACGGAGTACTGGGGCCCGGAGCTGGTTCAGACGTGCCAGCCCCGCACTTAGCACGTGTGTGATAAATGGGTGTCATGTTTACAACAACGCTTGCTAGCTGTGTGACCTCAGGTAAGTCACTTCACCACTCTGAGCTTCAGCTTCTTCGTCTGTCAAAGAGGGCCAAGAGTACAGCCCCTGCCCCCGGAGAGTGTTGGGAGACGGCGGTGGAATGATGCGGCCCTTAGCGCTGGGGCCGGTGCACGGCAGGTGCCCTACAGATGTCTGCCTGTCATTTCTTTGGCACTGGGAGCCTGGTTAAGTTTTCTGCATTTGACATCTGGTTATGGGGCCTTTGAGGAAGGAATTCCTGGACATTGAAATTCACGAAGTGTCTTGCCCATGGTTAATAGTTAACGGGTGGTTAACTATTAATCAGAGAGAGCTGAGAGCCGAAGCCAGAGCCCATTGTCCTAACCACTGTACTGCTCAGCCAAGTGCTCTGCTGGGATTTGCATATTCCCGGGGAACAGTGGGTACAGGGACACACACCCCTGCCCCCAAGGAAAGCTGCTTTGCTTACCAACTGCGGGACCTCGGGCAATTGGCACTTCCTCTCCACACCTCAATGTTTCCATTCACAAAATGGGAATAATCTTCTTTGCCATCTGGGATCTTTGGAGAATCGAGGGTCAAAAGGTCTTGGTGGGATCTGTGCTTTCTAAGCATTCAGTAGATGCTGGCGATGGCGGTGACAAGGATGGGTATGATGATGACGGTCACGTGCCTTAACCCTTCCTCCCCTCAGGCCAGCCTGATGCGTGTGGTGGTGATTGGCGCAGGCGTCATTGGCTTGTCCACCGCCCTCTGCATCCATGAGCTCTACCACTCGGCCCTGCAGCCTCTGGACATGACGATCTACGCAGACCGCTTCACCCCGCTCACCAACACCGATGTGGCTGCTGGCCTCTGGCAGCCCTACCTCTCTGACCCCAGCAACCCACAGGAGGCGTGAGTGAGGGTCCCACAGGGCAGCCTGGGGTTGGGGGAGCGTGGGGCCGAGCCTGCAGAGGGGCCGCCTCCCGTCAGGATTCCCATGAGCAGAACAAGACAGCAAGGCACAAAGAAATACCAGTAAATGTGAAGCCCCTGCGAGGGTGCCTGAAGTTAGGTTCTTCCTGACGTGGGCTGGATGGCCACACCAGACCCATTGGTGAGTCTGGACATTGTCCCAGTGGGCAGATGGATGCCCGATTGGTCACAGAAGTCGCAAAGGTCCTTACGTCAGTGTAGAGACTGCCCGCTGCGTCAGCAAAGGAGCCCCTCCATGGATAATGGCTCAAACAAAATTTTTATTTTTCACTCCCGTAAATTCCAAAACCAACGTTCCTAACCAGCGGGCCGGGCTCCTTCCGTGTCTCCCTCTCTGTGCGTGCCAAGGTCACCATTCTCACCAGGCAGTGACTACCAGAGGCGCACACAGAATCACGTGTGCAGAGAATGGACTGACTCCATAACACAGATGAGAAAACTGAGACTCAGGGAATCCAAGGCTGCAGGTGGTGAGGCCAGGGCCTCCATCCTGGTTGTCTGACCCTGTGCCCTGTTGCCTTCCACTCCTATCTCTCGGTGACTCTAGGTGTCTATCGGCCAGAACACAGCCACACAGTTCTGCCTAACTGTGAGGGAGTCTGGGCTGTGAAGCTGAGCTGTGCCCCTAGAGGGAGGCGAACAGCATTTGAGGACGGCAAGCTGATGTCTGCCAGCGGTGTTTGCCAGAGGCACTGCCCAGAGCCTGACCCAACTGTGTGGCTCACAGCCCCCAAAGCCAGGTCAAAGTTTTCATGGAAACTCATCGGCCATGCGGTACCAACCTGGAGGTCCCTTTCAAATGGTGGGGGAGGAGCTCCTGCTGTCCCCACTTCTGTATCCGACTGATATTGGCAAGTCCTGGAGGCAGTGGGCCTGTGGGCTTCTAGATGTGGGGTCACACGGCCCACGTGTGCTGGCCTCGGGAGGTCTGTGCCCAGTTCAGAGCATCAGGTAACCAGAAGTCGGTGACCTTTCCAGGGACTGGAGCCGGCAGACTTTTAACCACCTCCTGAGCCACATCCATTCTCCCAGCGCTGAAAAGATGGGCCTGGCCCTAATCTCGGGCTACAACCTCTTTCGCAAAGCTGTTCCGGTGAGCGAGGGTTCTTGGCTGGGAGAGTTGGTTGAGTGACCGGGGAGGCAGAGCCTGGACCACAGACCAGGGTGGGGCCCCTGAGCCTGGCGAGTCCTTTGAGTCTCGTAGACAACAGATCCCTGGGTTCAAAACAGGTTTGCTTTGCATTCTGGTTGGTTGTGCCTTGAAAAAGCTATTTTTTGGTTTCAAATGTTGTGATTCAATTGGCTGAGACCAGCGACTCTTGTGATAATGGAGAACTGGGCTTTGATTGGCTTTGGGGAAAACGTGTACTCTGCAGGGGTGAACTCAAAAGGTTTTACATGTCACCAAGAGGTACTAAAACCCTCACAGCAAAGATGGCTGAAGCACTTATTATGCGCCGAGCCCTTTGCTGACTACAGCTGGAGACGCACTTGATTCTTGCCCTTACCGGAAGCACTGTCTTTATCCTCATTTTACACAGGAGAACACAGGCTCAGAGAAAGGATAACTTGACTAAGGTCACAGAGCTTTTTTAAAAGATTTATTTATTTGCTTGAAAGGTGGAGTTACAGAGAGGGAGGGAGGAAGGGAGGGAGAGAGAGAGAGAGAGAGAGAGAGAGAGAGTCTTCCATCTACTTGTTCACTCCCCACATGGCTGCAACAGCCAGAGCTGGGCTGATCCAAAGCCAGGAGCCAAGAACTTCTTCCGGGTCTCCCACATGCGTGCAGGGGCCCAAACACTTGGGCCATCTTCCACTACTTTCCCAGGCCACAGCAGAGAGCTGGATTGGAAGTGGAGCAGCCGGGACTTGAACTGGCGCTGCAGGCAGATGCTTAACCTACTATGCCACAGCACCGGTCCCAGTCACAGGGCTCTTAGGTAGCAAAGCCGAGATTCGAACCCAGGCCCTCTGTTGACCACGTGGTGCTCGGTGTGCTCAGAGGGACAGAACTGGGGGGATGTGCCAGGGCTGCCTGGGGAGGAAGATGAACCTCTGGCTGGGACCCGTGCCACCTCTCAAGGTTTGCTCAGTCTTTAGCGCTACACTCAGGGCTTTCTCGACCTTATCTGCTGCCTTCCCTACGACCAAGGGTGATGAGCGACTCCATGACCCAGACGAGAACACCGAGTCTCGGAGAATCCAGTCTGTAAGGGGAAGGCCTGGGCCTCCAGCCAGGTGTCTGTCCCTGTGTCCTGCTGCCTTTATCTGACCTCTTGGTGATGCTCAGTGTTGCCCCTCCCCTCATTTCTGATCTTTGCCCTGTCACAGCCTTGGTCTCACTCTCACCTTAAATGCAGGAGAACCTCCAAACACTCATGGAAAAGTCAGTGAAAAGACACATTTATTTGGATGCAGAAAAACGTGAAATCCATGCATAGCTTTTTATGATGTGCATCTCTCATGGACACTTTTTAAAAATTTAATTATTTCAGAAGCATAGAGGAAGACAGAAAGACAGGCAAACCTGCCATTGGCTGGTTCATTCTCCGGGTGCTGGCAATGACATGGAAGGGCCAAAGCTAGGAGCCAGGAACTCAATCCAGGTCTCCTACATGGGTGGCAAGGAGCTAACTGCTTGAGCCACCCCAGGTCTGTGCTGGAAGAAAGCTGGACTTAGGATCCAGAGCTAGGTACTCGTGCAGTGGGGGGAGAGAGGGACACACACACACACACACACAGAGTGAGAGAGAGATCTCCTACCCAATAATTCTCTGCCCAAATGCCTGCCCTGGGTAGCAGGGACCCAGCTGCTTGAGCTGTGATGCACATTAGCAGAAACCTGGACTTGGGAGTGGAGCCAGGACTCCAACACACACACTATGCTATGGGATGGGTGTCCCAAGTGGCATCTTAACTATGACACAAATGCCCACCCCACCCCATGGAGTTTTTTGTAGACCTCTCGCATGTGTGTGTTTCCAAAAAACACATGCAACAAAATAACCTTCTTTTAGAATTTCATGTTCCTTGAACTTTGTGAGGTCCACCTATGCAGTGGTTAAGAACAGCACTGGAGCCCCATTGTGTGGCTTCAGATCTCAACTCCGCTATTTATCCCCTGTGTGACCTTAGTCTTAACTCCGTGTGCCTTAATTGGCCCACCTGTGAAATACGGATAAGAATGATATCCAATTCAATGGCTTATTCTGAAGATTATGCGAGCTTTCATCATCACCAGGGACCCCCAGCCACTCCGGTGACCCCCTCTCTCATCTTCTTCAGGACCCTTCCTGGAAGGACACAGTTCTGGGGTTTCGGAAGCTGACACTCAGAGAGCTGGACATGTTCCCCGGTTACAGGTAAGTTTCATCTTGGGGAAAGGAGCTGAGGCCCCACGACACGGGCAGAATGGTCCAGAAGGCAGCAAGTTGCCCATCTTATCCCCTGGTCTCCTGGTTTCTGTCCAATGAGACCCCACTCAAACTGGAGGGGAAGAGAGTGTGGAATCCCAGTTCTCAGGCTCAGAAGCTCCATTTATGTCTTGTTTGGTGGAGGAGGAAGTGAGCTTCAGAGAGGCTCAGTGACTTCCCAAGATCACACAGCCAAGTGACCCAACTAGGATTCCAACCCCATCTGTGTGACTGCAAACGCCTCTCCTCTCTACCCTGACGCCTCTCTGGTCCTCTCCTCACCCCACCCCGTCCTGGACCTCCTCCACCAAGGCACATCTGATCTCCGTTCACATACCCCAGTATCAGGGATGACTTTGACTGATGGACACTTTTGTCCTTGTGTTGAACTGAAAATCATGCTTGCCCTTGAACTTCACCCCGTGGTCCTGGCCCTCCCCTTTGGGAGCCCACTGCACCTTCCTTTAATTGACAGCCCTCCGATTGACAGCTCTGATTCTGACCTTGATTCCCACCTTTTGCCTGCATGACTGTAGCTATGGCTGGTTCAATACAAGCTTGATTCTGGATGGGAGGAGCTACCTGCAGTGGCTGACTAAAAGGTGAGTGTTTAAGCTTTGGTGTGAGATGGGCATCTCCCGGGGCAAAGGTAGAGTAGAAGACTGTTCATGGGATTCCTTGCTGTCTGGGCCAATCCCAAAGTTGAAGAAAACCTGTAGATTAGACGGGAACTATCCTTGGTCCTGACCGCTACTCTAGGAATGGAGTTCCTGCACCTGACTGGGCATGAGAACCACCTGGGCAGCTTTCCACATTGGAGATCTCTTAGCAACCCCGCTCAGTCCCTAATCTTTATGCAATAGTTGTAAATGGATTCCCTCAAGGTTTATAAATACAGTTCGGTCATTAGCATAATATAACTGACTCTCTCTCTCTCTCTCTCTCTCTCCTAACTACTTTGGTTAGTTCCTCCAGAACAGTGTTAAGTAATACAGGTGCTAATGGATGTTCCTCTCTTATTAATAGGGATCTGATAGTGTCCCAAATTAGCAAACACAACCCTGAAAGATGTGCTTATATTTATATTCAAATGCATTTATATTGAGGAAAATTGCATATATTCTCTCTCTTTTTAAAAAGATTTATTTATTTGTTTTGAAAGTCAGAGTTAGGGAAAGGAAAACAGACAGACAGACAGACAAACAGAGAGAATGAATCTTCTACCTACTGGTTCACTCCCCAGATGGCTGTAATGGCCAGCGCTGGGCCAGGCTGAAGCCAGGAGCCAGGAGCTTCTTCCACGTCTTCCATGTGGGTGGCAGGGGCCCAAGGACTTGGGCCATTTTCTTCTGCATTTCTCAGGCCATTAGAATGGAGCTGGATTGAAAGTGAAGCAGCTGGGACTCAAACCAGCGTCCATATGGAATGCCAGCATTGCAGGCAGCAACTTTACCCACTATGCCACAACACCTGTCTCTATTCTCTCTTTTTTAAACATTTATTTGAAAGGCAGAGCAACAGAGAGGAGAGAGAGAGAGAGAGACAGAGAGAAAGAGAGAGAGAGAGAGAGAGAGAGAAAGAGATCTTTCATCTGCTCATTCACTCCCCAAATGGTCAAAATGGCCAAGGCTGGTCCAGGCTAAAACCAGGAGCCAGGAACTCCATCCAGGTCTCCCATGTGGGTGGCAGGGACCCATGGACTTGAGCCATCTTCTACTGCTTCCCCAGGTGCATTAGCAGGGAGCTGGATCGAGGTTAAGCAGCCAGGATTCAAACTGGTACTCTGAAATGGGATGCCAGCATCTCAAGCAGTGGCTTAACCCACTGTGCCACAGTGCCAGCCCCTGAGAACTGTATTTAAGGAACCCCACGGGTGATTCTAATTACCACCCAGGTTTGGGAACCACTGTGCCATATAGGGTTAATTCCCCTAACCTTGAGATACTCACGGCTCCTGCCTAGCCTCCCCCAGGAAAGATCACACTCACTTGTTCTCTCCTGGGGAAATTATGTAGATAAATCATTCTAAGGTAATACACCAACACGCATATGGCTCATTTTCTGATCTTTTGATGTTTCCACTATATTTCTAAAAGGAAAAGTATTCCCCACAGGGATATTTAAAGGGAAGAGGCGTCCCCAGGGTACCTCACTCCGTGTGCTCTGCTTCTGGAAAGGGAACATTCGGCTTTTTTTTTTTTTTTTGACAGGTAGAGTTAGACAGTGAGAGAGACAGAGAGAAAGGTCTTTCTTCCATTGGTTCACCCCCACAAATGGCCGCTATGGCCGGCACGCTGCACCAATCCGAAGCCAGGAGCCAGGTGCTTCCTCCTGGTCTCCCATGCGGGTGCAGGGCCCAAGGACTTGGGCCATCCTCCACTGCACTCCTGGGCCACAGCAGAGAGCCGGACTGGAAGAGGAGCAACCGGGACAGAATCTGGCTCCCCAACCGGGACTAGAACCTGGAGTACCAGCGCCACAGGTGGAGCATTAGCCTAGTGAGCCACGGCGCTGGCCAGCACTTGGCTTTAATCCATTCTTGCCTCCTCTGCTTCACATCTGATGCCCTTAGATTTTTTTTTTTCTGACAGGCAGAGTGGACAGTGAGAGAGAGAGACAGAGAGAAAGGTCTTCCTTTGCCCTTGGTTCACCCTCCAATGGCCGCCACGGCCGGCGCACTGTGGCCAGCGCACCGCGCTGATCCGATGGCAGGAACCAGGTACTTCTCCTGGTCTCCCATGGGGTGCAGGGCCCAAGTACTTGGGCCATCCTCCACTGCACTCTCTGGCCACAGCAGAGAGCTGGCCTGGAAGAGGAGCAACCGGGATAGAATCCGGCGCCCTGACCGGGACTAGAACCCGGTGTGCCGGCGCCGCAAGGCAGAGGATTAGCCTAGTGAGCCACAGTGCCGGCCTACCCTTAGATGTTACAAAGCCACATGGGGGTCACAGGAGATGCTGGGAGCCGGCAGAGGCCTGGGTTTGCATCCCAGAGCCATCAGTGACTCACCACACGACCCTCAGCAAAGCTCTTTTCCCATCCCCATCTGCCCAATGAGGGGCTGCGACCACCTCAGGTTCTCCAAGGAACCTTTGTGGAGCAGTGGTCCAGCAAGGTGCCAGTGACCTGACTGGGGACACAGCCGTTTCCTCGAGGAGCCGCTGGTGGACTCCCGTCCCTAGAAGGTTCTTTGGGAATGGTCCACATGCCACCCTCCTGCACGGATGGCACAGAGAGCCCAACACTGGGCTTTTCGATGTGTCTCGTCCTCCAGGTTAACCGAGAGGGGAGTGAAACTCTTCCAGCGCAAGGTGGAATCCTTTGATGAGGTGAGCTGCAGGGTTAAAGGGTAGGGGGAGGAGGAGAGGGGAGGGCTTTGCTTCCTGCTATGGGGTTGGGGGCCCCTTCTCAGGCTCCTAGGGTTCCCTGAAGATGGTCCCAGACTCTAAACCTCTTCTTAATCCCAGAAGGACTCGGGCAGTCTGAGAAAGGGGGTCTCTGCCTTGATGTGGGCGGCAGGGACACAGGAACAGCAGGCTCATGGTAGCCCATTTGGGGCTCATTTAAGTCTGAATCTCGGTGAGTTTTAGGGCTGAGAGAGCGAGCGCTGGATGCCTTTTTCCAGTATCAGCCACATTCCAATGTCAAAGTCAGATGCTTGGCTGCTTCCTCCTGAGGTCTGGGCTGAGTTTTCCTGGAACTCCTCCACCAAGAATAATGTTGATAGCAGCTCCCAGCACCAGGCACTGAATTCCTTCAGTCCCGGCACCTGCAAAAATGCTCAGCACGTGAAAGGCGCTCAGCCCCTGTAGCAGCCAGTGTGAGATAACGAGGACCTCCCCACTCTGGGTTGGATCCTGATGGACACTTGAGATACGTGGCTGACTCAGTGGCAAACGCTGAGCCAAGAACAATAGTAGTGCATTGCAATGTGTGGGTCCATGTCTGACCCAGGGCTGGGAGGGGAGCGGCGGTCACGGGAGCCCAGCCGGGGAGTGTGGGTATCCAGGACACACCAGCCCTGAGTCATCAAGTCTCCTGTACCTAGAGCTAGGGCTTGCACTGTGTCTTCTGCAAGTGTCCTGGCACAAGAAGAAAATCTAAAGAAACCAGAAGGCAGAGAACCGGCTCTGCTTCCTGTCTGAGATCTTTTGGGAGGCTCCCAGGTTTCTCTCTCCACCGTACTCTCTTCCATGCATTTTCCTATCCATGCTCACATGGGGTTCTCACCGCAGCCCCACTGTATCACAGAGGCAGCTAAGCCTCAAGAGGTAAAGGGATATCTCTGGGGTCACACATTGGGTAAATGGCAGAGTGGAGATTTGGAGCCAGGCGTCTGATTCCTCACCGAGCCCTCTCTCTGCTGGTTCATAGAGTAGACAGCTGCACCGGGAGAGGCGAGGGCAGGGAGGGGACAGAAAGGACCAGGATTCCCAATCCCCCTGCCCTATTGGTTGCTGTCAGGTGGCAGGAGGAGGTGTCGATGTGATTGTCAACTGCACCGGGGTATGGGCCTCAGCACTGCAACCAGACCCCTTGCTGCAGCCCGGCCGGGGGCAGATCATTAAGGTGAGTGGCAGGTGAGACCCCGGCTTTGCTTGGGAAGACTGTTCTGTGTGCTCATCTAATTTCCGAAGAGAGTGGATGAATCAGGACCATCTAAGACAGAAGCCTTCAGACATCAGGAAATTCACGTTAAAGATACAAGAAGGACCAATAACCCCCACCCTTGATCAGGGTTTCCTCTTGCTAGCGATGGCTGTACCTGTGTTGGGGGGGAGTTAAGAGTGCCTGTAGTGTCATAAATAGCAAACGCTGGTGCCAGACCTGGCCTGGGCGCTTGATTGTGTTCATTACTTTAATCCTTACCGTAACCCTTTGAGATGGGCACTCTCACATCAACATTGCCGTCTTACAGAGCGGGAAACTGAGACACAGAAGAATTAAGAAACATGCGCACAAGTTCACACGGTAGTAAGTGGAAGGATTGGGATTAGGACTCAGGCAACCTGGCTCCAGAGCCTACATGCATAATCACCTTTCCATACCACCTCTCATTGTATGTGGGGGCTGTGTGTGCGTGTCTGCCTGTGGGCATGGGTGTACCCTTGTGTCATAGGTGTGTAGGGGCAGGTGTGCATATGCCCTGACACGTGTGTGTGGTGATGTTTCTACAGACATGGGGGTGAGGCTGTGCAATGCTTCAGGGAGCAAGGGGGCTGCCACTCAGGGCGGCTCTTCCTGCAACAAAAAAGTGGCCAGTTGCAGGCGTGGACCAGAGTGGGTCATGAGAGGGCCTAGGCTTCGGCTTTGCCACTCTGGTCAAACACCTGGCCATGAAGGGGAGTGAGGGCAGCCTGGCCCAGTGACCCAACATCCTGGACAAGACTCTTCTGTTCTCGATCAACAGGTGGATGCCCCCTGGGTGAAGCACTTCATTATCACCCACGACCCAGAGAGCGGCATCTACAAGTCCCCGTACATCATCCCGGGGTGAGAACTGCACTGTTCCCAGGGCAGAGGAAGGACACCTTGACACTCTCTCTGTGCCCCTGCTGCCTGCCCAGCCCCCTTGCTTAGTCTCTGCTGTCATCTTGTTCCAGTGTTTTTAAGTGACTTTGGGCCACTACGTCTCCAGGAAGGCAGGACACGGTGGCCTTGACTGGGCTCTGTCTTGAACATTCTTTTAAGTGACAGGAGTGGGGAGGCTGGAGACGAAGCAGTGGATGTGACAAAGGTGGTGACACTAAGTGATGTAAATGGCAACAATGTGAACGGGGCTGGGATGGAGCTCGGTGTTGGCGGTGGTGGTGACACGGATGGGATGCCAATACTGCTCCCAGTGGAACCGTGGTAGGTGAGACAGTACTGTCCCGGGTGGAGGACACAGTGCTGGTGATGGAGGGGTGTGGGTGACAGCAGGTGCTACAGTTTGGATGTGGCTTATCCCCCAAGTGTGCGATGGTCCCCAGTGAGATGGTGGAATTTTTAAGAGATAGGGAGGGCCCTGTGGCCCTCATGAAGGATGCATGTGTTCTTGTTGGAGTGGACCCAGTCTGGTAGGAAGGGACCAGTTCCCAATGCAGTGGGCTGTTATACAGAGACTCAGCCTACCCCCACCCACACCCTGGTCCCCTGGTTTCTTGTTTTCATGCTCCTGCACTCACTTCTGCCTGTGGCCACTTCCTTTTCTGCTTCTCCACCACTGGTGACTCCTGTCAAAGGGGCCCTCTCCAGGATAATCGCACCATGCTGTTCGGACATTTCAGCCACCAGCACCATGCATCAAAGAAACCTCTTCACTTAGAAAGCACCCAGCCTCAAGTAATTGGTTGTAGTCTCACCAAACAGATGGATACGGTGGGGCTGGTAGCAGGTGCTGATGGAGACGACACTCGTAGGGATGTTAACAGTGTGGCAGAGGTGATTATCCCGAAGGCAATGCCAGTGGTGGGGCTGCACCGACACCTCCATGGTGACGTTAATGGTGTAGTGGTGCTGGGGTGGTGTGCTGAATGAGGTCCATGACATAGTAATGGTAGCAGTGAAGGCAATGGTGAAGGTGACATTGTTGATGGAGATGATGGTGTTGGTGGTGATGGTGTTGGTGTTGGTGGTGAAGGTGACATTGTTGATGGAGATGATGGTGTTGGTGGTGATGGTGTTGATGGAGATGATGGTGTTGGTGGTGATGGTGTTGATGGAGATGATGGTGTTGGTGGTGAAGGTGTTGATGGAGATGATGGTGTTGGTGATGAAGGTGACATTGTTGATGGAGATGATGGTGTTGGTGGTGAAGGTGACATTGTTGATGGAGATGATGGTGTTGGTGGTGAAGGTGTTGATGGAGATGATGGTGTTGGTGGTGAAGGTGACATTGTTGATGGAGATGATGGTGTTGGTGGTGAAGGTGACATTGTTGATGGAGATGATGGTGTTGGTGGTGATGGTGGTGATGGAGATGATGGTGTAGGTGTTGATGGTGTTGATGGAGATGATGGTGTTGGTGGTGATGGTGTTGATGGAGATGGTGGTGTTGGTGGTGAAGGTGTTGATGGAGATGATGGTGTTGGTGGTGAAGGTGACATTGTTGATGGAGATGATGGTGTTGGTGGTGATGTTAGCGGTGCTGGCAAGGATGGCAGTGTTGATGGTGGTGGCCAATAGTTGAGATGGTGAGCACAGGGCTACCTTCATTCACCTCAAAGCCTTAATGTTCCTTCATGCTTCACACCCTCCTGCTTCTTGTCCAGGGTCCATGCGGTTACTCTTGGAGGCATCTTCCAGATGGGGAACTGGAGTGAGGGAAACAGCACCGATGACCACAACACCATTTGGAAGGGCTGCTGCAGCCTGGAGCCCACGCTGAAGGTAAGGGGTGGGGGGGTGCCAGAGCCTCCGACCAGGGTCCTGGCAGCTGGTTCATGAGAACATTCGAAGACGGGGGCGACACCACCGCTGGAGGACTCAGGGCAGACTGATCCAGCAAGGGACCATGAAATACACCAGAACTCCACAGTGTGCAAGAAAGCATTGCAATGGGCCAAAGAAACCTGTCTTTGCTCAGCTGAGTCGCTCCCTCCTGGGAAGATGTCGTCTTTCTTCACAAAACCACTCATGGTGGACATCTTGGGGCTCCCATTTGTCCGGGAGCAGCGATGATGGTAGTGAGTGTGATGAAGGTGAGGGCAGAAGTGGTGGTTGGGTGGATGGCGGTGACAATGCTGAGAATGGTGATAGTGATGGTGACATGTGGTGACTGTGGAGGTGGGTGAATATCTTTGTTGTTAAGCTGCCAGACTGGATGCTCTGGTCCACACTGGCGTACCAAGGTGTGCGTTCTAGCTCCACGCCCCATTCCAGCTTCCTGCAAATGTACACCCTGGGGTGCAGCACTTGACACCCCGTGTTATAGGGTCCATGCCACATACGTGGGAGACCTGCGTGAAGTTCCTGACTCCAGGATTCATCCTGGCCAGTCTTAGCTATGATGGGCATTTAGAGAGTGAGGCAGCAGTTGGGAGCTTGCTCTCTGTCTTTCAAATAAATAAAACAAATGCACACTTAAGTTGTCGTAATATGGAGCTGGGACTGACGGTGCTGTTGATACAGGTGCTATAGCTGATGGGTGTGAGTGGCAGTGATAACGATGGCGGAGGCTGATAAACCTGGTGTAGTGGTGATTAATCAAGGTGAGTGTGGTGATGCTGGAGTTGCTAATGGTGACGAGACTTTAAAATCAAGCTCCTCACCACCTAAAAATGGCAGCAGGAAAGACATGGCCAATGCTTTGTCTTGCAGGATGCAAGAATTGTTGGAGAATGGACTGGCTTCCGGCCAGTCCGGCCACAGATCCGGCTCGGAAGAGAACAGCTCAGTGCTGGGCCTTCAAAGACAGAGGTATGCGCTGCCAGTGAGGAAAGCAATGCTCTTCCCAACACCCAGGAGTTCTCTGTCCTGTCCGGGGCATGGTCGTGTCTGGTTTCAGGCTCCACAGAGCCTCCCTGGCAGGCGGCCAGTGGCGGCAAACACTGCCTCCTCTGTAGATGGGGAGACTGAGGCACGAGGGTGGTGAGAGACCTGCTCAGGGTTCCAGAGAGCGCAGTGCCCTGGTTTGCTTAAGTCTGTGGTTGAGTGGGAGGAATGTGGGTGCCTGTTGAGCAGCCCCTTGATGCCGGACAGTGCGGCAAACCCATGCCATGGTGACCTGCTGGGTCTCCTCTGCAGCTCCGTGGGGAGGGGACAGTCCCCTGAACCTCACATAAAGACTCTGGAAACCTGGGAGCTGAAGTCCCTCTCCATGTCAGAGCCCTCGTGAAGGTGGGGCTGAGATGGGATTTGAACTTGATTCAAGAGCTGGTTCCTAGGATGTCCATTTTGGGGTCCTTACTCATGTCCCCTCTCAGGGGGTAGGAACCGAGTTTACTGAAGCCCTGGGAGTTGTCCTGGGCTGAGGGAGCAGATGTGGGTAGGTGGTACCTCGGCTCCCACCAGAGACGCAACCCCCCTGCCAAAGCCATCTCTTCCTTCACCCCAGATGGACCGCGTGCGTGTGTGTGTGTGTGTGTGCATGTGTGTGTGTCTGGGGCTGTGTGTGTGTATATGAGCGTGCTTCCAAAAGGCCATGGACTTCACAATTAAAGACACGCAAGGGCGTGCGTTTGGCCTAGCAGTGAAGATGCTGCCTGGGATGCCTGCACCCCATGTCTCGAAGCCTGGGTTCGAGTCTCGGCTCTGCTCCTGATTCCAGCCTCCTGCCTGTGTGCACCGGGGAGGCCACAGCTGACGGCTCAAGTTCTTGGGCCTCTCCCACCCACGTGGGAGACCTGGGTTGAGTTCCTGGTTCCCGGCTTTGGCCTGCCCCAGTCCCAGCTGTTGTAGGCATCTGGAGAGTGAACCAGCAGCTGGGAGCTGTCTGTCTGTCTCTCCTCCTGCCTCTCAATAAGACTTAAGGAAATTGAATTTTTTTAAAAGATGACCTAGATTTCCATGAACTTTTTAAGGTCCCAAATATATAGAGGGGTTATGTGTACAAATGGAAGATTGTGTGTGTGTGTATATGTGGAGAGGGGTTACGTGTGTGTGTGTGTGTGTGTGTGTGTGTGTGTATGGTATATGGAGATACCATGTGCATGTAGAAGACAGGAGGGTGGTGTGGGCATGGCGAGAGTTATATATGTATAGGTGGAGGGGCCGTGTGTGTACAGGGGATCATGTGTGTGTGTGTGTAGAGGGTGTGGATATGTGTATGTAGAGGCCATCTGTGTAGACACCTGTGTGTAGCAGGGTTGTGTATGTGGGTAGAGGGTTGTGTGTGTATGTAGGATTCATGTGTGTATAGAGGCATCATGTGTGTGTGGATGGGAGGGTTAAATCTGGAGTTGAATTCCTTGCTGGTGGCTTTAGCTTTGAGGGAGGTGCAGGGGCCTTGCCTGTGTCCCCAGGATGCACCCCCACATCACACAGAAACCCCCCACCCCATTTCAGGCCCCTGTTTTGCCGGCCTCCGTGGCGGGTGGCAGGCTGTCTCTGCACACAGGTGCTCGTTAGTCCACAGTGGGATGGGGAGGAAGACGGGGATTTGGGACACCCTGACGCGGAGGAGACCTCTGACCTCTGTTCCAGATTCTCCGCTCCCTGAGCTGTGTGTTGAAGGCAGGTCCGTTTCCTGAGCCGAGGAGACGAGTCTGGGGCGCGGGCCTCCATCCCAGGGCCCAGCCCCCTTGCTCAGTTCCCGGGGGCCCTCACCAGCCTACCAGGCACTGAGAGAGGCTCAGCTGATGCCTGGCTTTGCCCAGGACTCTTTGGGGAGCTCCCAAGGGTAGGAGGACTTCCCGCCGTCCCCCCCAAACCTGGCCACCTTCTCTCTTGTTCCTCCCAGGTCATCCACAACTATGGCCATGGTGGCTATGGGCTCACCATCCACTGGGGCTGTGCCCTGGAGGCAGCCAAGCTCTTTGGGAAAATCCTGGAGGAAAAGAAGTCGTCCAGGATGCCACCATCCCACCTGTGAAGACTCCAGTGAGCCACGCCTTCCCCACCAGGATTCTCCACTCTCCCTGGCCAAGCAATCAACGTGCTCCTCTGTAAGACAGCCTTGACCTCCCACCTGCCCACAAGGCCAAGGCCTGGACAAGAGTTCGGGCCAGCCTGGCACCCTCTCTAACCGCTGAGTCTCCCCCCATCTCCGTGTCTGACACTGTGAATGGCTGGGGGCTCTTATTCCTAGAGCCACCAGAAGAAAGGAAAGCTCAGAAAATCAAAGAGGCCGGCTGCCCAGCACCAGAGAAAACTGAGACAAGTGAAGCGAAAGTATCTGGATTACAACACGAACGGCGATGAGAAACCTAGTGGTGGACGGCTGTTACTCCAGCGCCTCCTACACCTGTCTGTGGAACCCCATTGTCCTGGGCACACTCTTGAGGAACACTGTAGGGGATTCTGTTGTAGGAAGTTGCAGGAAAAGCCGGGGTGTGTTTGCCGGCGCCGCGGCTCACTAGGCTAATCCTCCGCCTTGCGGCGCCAGCACACCGGGTTCTAGTCCTGGTCAGGGCACCGGATTCTGTCCCAGTTGCCCCTCTTCCAGGCCAGCTCTCTGCTGTGGCCAGGGAGTGCAGTGGAGGATGGCCCAAGTACTTGGGCCCTGCACCCCATGGGAGACCAGGATAAGTACCTGGCTCCTGCCATCGGATCAGTGCAGTGCGCCGGCCGCAGCGCGCTGGCCACGGCAGCCATTGGAGGGTGAACCAAGGGCAAAGGAAGACCTTTCTCTCTGTCTCTCTCTCTCACTGTCCACTCTGCCTGTCAAAAAATAAAAAAAAATTTAAAAAAAAATTAAAAAATAAAGAAAAGCCGGGCTGTGGAGGAGGCTAGTGACATCCTGCTCCACACCCAGAATGCCCCATGGAATCAGCTGCCAATGACTGGCCCCTTGGGTACCCCACGACCCTCGAGGAGGAGCTGTGGCAGGGGTCGTCCCATGAGGGCCCCCCTTACAGAGAGCCAGGCTTGCCAAGCCTTCTCCTTGCTTGTGGGGCACATTCCCGTCTCTTGTCTTCCGGTGGCACACTCTGATCTGACAATGTTTTTGAAAGTCTTCATAGAGACTAGAAATCTGTGTTAGGGTTCAGAATTAGAGGCACAGAGCCAATAGGATAGAGAGATAGACAGATAGACGATAACAGTCCGAGGTGGATGTAGGCAGATAGATAGATGGATGGGAGGGGGTTTATCAGGGGATCAACTTGAGATTATGGAGCGGGGACGTCTCTCGACATTGTCTGCAAACCAGAGCCCCTGTGGTCCTGGCAGTGTAGCTCAGTGCAGGTCCAGAGGCCTCCGAACCAGGGAAGCCAGTGGTGGGAGTCTCAGTCCAGGGCTGAAGGCCTCAGAAGTTGGGGGCCGCTGCCCTAAGACCCATAGTCCAAAGGCCAGAGAGCCTGGAGCTGTGATGTCCACGGGCAGGAGGAGAAGAGCTGGCCAGCTGCAAGTGAGAGAGGGCGTTGCCTGCTGAAACTGGGGCTGACCTCCCTGCAGTCCACCACCTCCCCCCGGCCAGTCAGCTCAAGGCCACGCCCAGGAAGCTGGCTGGCCCCTCCCTAGTCCTTAATCCAGTCAGGTACACGCCCAAGATGGGGCACTGCAAAGACTCTGCTCGTTCCTGATGATCCGTCTCCGCCCCCAGGGTTTTCTCCATCTGGGTTTTTGACAAAGAACCTGGGAAGGTTGGGGTGCTCAGGCCATCGCGCTGTGTCCCTTCCTGTGTCCCTTCGTCCCCTGGGTTCTTCATGAAGTATCTGCCGTGATGCTGGTCAGCCTAAGCTAAACAGAGGGAGGGAGCCAAGACCTAAAACTCTCTCTTAACAACCACGCAACACCATCAGCAACAACCACACTGATGTGGGTTAAAGCTTATACCATTCTAACTGGGTACCAGGCTCTGTGTCCAGCTGTTGCACACATCTCTCTCTGAATCCTCACGAACACCCCACGAGGTAGCTGCTACCCCCATTTCACAGATGGGAAGTTCGGCTTTGGCTTGGCCCAGCCCTGGCTGTTGTGACCAACTGGGGAGTGAACCAATGGATAGAAGATTCTCTCTCTGTCTCTCTGCCTTTTGAATAAATAAATAAAAATTTTAAAAAGGAGGAAATCGTTCAAATAAAATGAGACACTCTCATCTAAGTGGCCACAACATCAGAGAGAACCATCCACGTGTTCCTTAGAATACGGGAAGTAAGAGAAGGGAGGGAACCGCCCCGGTCATGTCTACACTGAACGGTCTCATCTCCTGCAATCTTTGCTCACACCGAGAGAAGCAGATGACGTTTCCCTTCGTGGAAACAGGAGACCTTCCAACGAGAGAGTGCAAGATCCAACACGCGCACCTTCAGTTCAAAGACCCCTGTGTTTCTGAGGCTCCCACGACTTGGTGTGGCTCTCATTTCATTCAATAACATTGATTTTCAGGAAAAGGGCAGGGTCTTTGGAAGCTAAAGGTTTTTCAGCTTTCTCTTTCTTTAGTAGAGGAAGCCCTCAACTACAGTTCCCTTGACGCTGGTCATTGGAAAACGTTTCTGCCCACCCGGCCCTCCTGCCCTGCCCAGCCCCCACACCAGTGGGTTATTTGAGGGCAAAGGGAAGCAACACAATCAGCCAGCAGGAAGGCAAAAAAAAAAAAAGGCAAGCAAAGATTCTGTGTTGCCCAGCAGAGCTCAGCTGTCCAGAAGTAATTAGAGCTACAGCCACTTGAGGTTCAAGGAAATGTGGACTTGAGAGAGAGGCAGGTTTGCCAAGCCGCCTGCCCTCTGACTACCGGGGTGCAGGGCGCCACGACCCAGACTTCAGGAACATGGGGTGTGTGCCATTGAATCAGGCCCTGAGCCTCAAGAAGTGGTCCACGGTGGTCTCCATAGCCTCATAGCTTCAGAGCAAAGCGCCATCCGAGCCATGGTGCTGGCTGCGGCTGCGCAGGGCCCCCACCTCCCCCCCTCCCCGGCAGGAGGTTATCACCTTAAAGCATCGAGGTCACCTTGGGTGGACGCAGAGCAAGCCAGGCCATGTGACAAATGAACAAACTCAGCCCCTTGCAATGTCCATCACCAACGTGTTTTAATAAGAGATGAACACACGCACACGCACACATACATACATACACACGCACGCGCACACACGCACACACTTGGCTTCCTTGCAAGGGTCACTTCGTAAAGAGGCTCAGTCTTCCCTGGCCTTTGAGGGCATCGGGCAGCTTCTTCCATCCTGTTCTAGTTCCCTGACCTTCACCTTCACCATGGGGGCAAAGAGTACATAAAGAAAATCCCATAAGTGGATGCAGGTCACTAAGACTCAGCCCCAAGCCCTTCCTCCCAGGGTCAACCCCGAGCCCAGCAGGCCTCTTTCCTCCTCCCATGAACAGGGACACAAGTCACGCATCTGGGACCTCCTAGTCCTCCACACTCCATGGCAGGGGTGCCGTGGGCTCCAGTGCTGGGACCCCAGGAGCTGCCTCTGTGCAAAGACCAAGCCAGCCCTCAACAGATGGGGTTGGCACGGGAACCAGGACGGAGGGGCCAGCTTGGCATCAGGGCTCCCCGGTGCCAGCCCTGGAGGGAGCTGGTGGCTGGTGTGGCATCCTTTGGGTGTGGCTACCCAATCGGCCATCTGCCTGTGCACAACACCCACAGCCCTGACATCCGTGTCGACCCAAGAGTCACCACCAGCCTGACCCACCCAGGCAGGGGCCAGGAGAGAAGCCCAGCGTTGCCTCTGCTGCCTCCTCGGGAGTCCTGCTTTGGCCTTGGACTTGAGCCTCATCTCCTTTAGGCATCAAGCTCCTTGGTCCCAGGGGAATAACAGCTTTCTGAGCTTGTTGTCTGGTACAGGTTCAGCCAGCCCCAGGGACACCTCTCTGCACTCCCTGGAGGCAGACAGCCACTGCAGAGGGAGGCAAACGGGGGCACCCGGCTCCAGTTCAAGTGCATGTCCACCTGCCAGGCTCTCACCACTCAGGCTCTGGAGAGGCGGAGGAAGGGGCCCCTGCCCCAGGGAGCAAGCGTTTCCCTGCTTGCTCGGGTCACACCTCGGTCACCTGCGACTTCAAAGCAGAAAGCCTGGGGCCAGGGGTGTAGAGAAACCTACTGAACAGGTCTGGGCGGTGGATGGCAGGTGTCACAGGGGTCTGGGCCTGGGCCGATCTGCAGAGATCTTTCAGCTGTTGTTCACCAGGGATGTGACCCAGCGACTCTGGGCGGTGGCTGCTGGGCTGCCGATGTCCCTGGACCCTCCCATGGCAGTGGTTTCCCCATGCAGACCCACAGGTTATGAACAAAGCTTCCCCGACACGTACAGAGAACCCCTGGAGCAAACGCCTCCCCAGCCCCTGGTGGATCGCAATGAAGATGAGCAAACCGAGTCAGGACACAAAACCCTGTTGGTCCAAGTGGTCCTCTTGGGCAAGTTCTTGATGTCGGCAGTGACCATCAGTGTTCCCAGCAGGGCTGCACCAGCCCCCTGGGCTCCACAGGCTCAAAGACCAGCTCAGCCCCCCAGCGGTCACTTGGTCACTATTCCTGAGAGCCAGAGTTTGACCTGGTGACACCCGGACCGTGCGTCCCTCGGCCGACCATCTCCTGGCCCCACTCCCGGTGGCTGGATTCCTGCAGGCCACGACCTTTGGTCTCGATGGGCAAAAAGCAGGACGCCAGGGCGGCCAGGAGGCAGCAGCCGCTGTAAACCGCCAAAGTCAGGTACACGGAGGATTCCAGCATCACCTGGGGGGAGGGAGGGGAAGACGCAGGTCGGTGAGAATGTCCGTGCTGAAGCTTTGCACTCCACACGCCCATTCTGTGAGCTCAGAGGGGAAAATGGAGGCTCCAGGAGGGCCAGTAGCACACCCACGTTCATATACATAATAAGGATAGGGCTGGGACTTGAACTCACACTCATGAGGCTGAATGCCTAATGCTACACTGTATCGTGGAACCACGCCTGTGCCAGCTCCCCAGCTTCAGGGCACAGGGCAGACCAGGAGGCGGTGGACTCCTGTTTTCTCCTCTGTCAGATGGGCAGAGGGGGCACAATATCCCTTGTTAATGAGAGGATGCCTGGGGAGCACTTGGCATCAAGCAGGCTCTCAACCAATATCGGGAGGGACAGGCAGCAAAGGGCCCCAAACAAACAAACAAATGAACAAACAGAAACCAAAGCTGAGTCCTGAGCTCAAACAAGTATTGGAATTCCGTGTACCTGACATATTCAGAAAAGGCAAACCCACAGACACCGGAAGTGGATGGGAGGGTGCTAAGGACTAGGGGATGGGTGGAGAGAGGAGACTGGGGGGCGGCTGGGGAGTGGACACGGGGTTCTAGTTCAAGGTGATGGAGGCGTCTTGGGACGAGCTAGAGGTGGCGGTTGTACAACCTTATGAATGTGCTGAATGGCACCAGATCATTCGTTTGAAAACAGTGCATTTGATGTGTGTAACCTTTACCGCGATAAAACATTGATATGAACAGAAAAAAAATTTAGATACGTGAAAAGCTCAAAGACTTAATAAGATCCCCAGCCACGGATAGAAACACTTCAATGCACACAGAGTTGCAAACTTCCACAACCACACCTGACTCAGAAAGCAGGCACAGGGACATTTGTGTGCATCTGCACAGTTAGGGGTCACATCGCCTGGCAGCTTCAGGGTCGTCTGCTCGGGGGACACCTGGGCTTGAGCCCTGGCCTATCTACTTCCCAGCCATGGGAGCCTGGGCAGGTGTCTTTCCCCCTCTGAGCCTGTTTCCTCATGCGCACGCCACGTTTCTTTTCTCAGAGGGTGTGTGGTGTGAGGCGCACAGATGCCTCTGCAGAAGGCGGCACACACGGGGACTGCTTGGCGGGCACTGGGTTCTGCCACACACCACCTCCTATATCCGGGACAACGCCTACCTGAGCAATGAATGGAGTGATGAGCGCACCCACTCTCGCCATGCCGCTGCAGGTGCCCAGGCCCAGCGCCCGTGTCGCTGTCGGGTACACCTGAAACACACCAGCCGGATGTGGGCTTGGGAACACACAGACACCCCTCTGTCTCCTGCAGCTCGGGACTGATGGGACTGACCCTCCCCCACAGGTCTGAAGTCCTGGCAAATCCCTCAGGCTTGCGGGGAGATTCTTATCGGAAAGGGGGTATGGGCGGTTCAACTGAGAAAGCCAGCGCGAGGCTGAGCTGAGCATGGGAGCACAACACGGGGTCCTCCCTGCCATCGGTGGTTCCCCAAGGACTCCTCTGCACATCCAGAGCCAGCAATGGCCCTCCCTGCCCCTACTCTTGGGTTTACCCAGAAATTCTGATCACAGGCATTCAAGGAATTTTGTCAAGAGACTGGGGGAGGTACATTCTCAGTTTGCACATGGGGGTGGCCACGTGCCCAGTTCCTTCCTAAGCAAAGTTTGGAGGGGCTACGCGTCTTGCAGGCCAAGATGCTTAATGAGGGGGCGTGTCGTCTGCACTCCACTCTCCCATCTTCGGGCTGGAAAGAGGACTCCATGGCCCTAAGACAGAGAGAAGTTCTCAAGCTTCATGCCAAGGACATCTTGGAAGGGGCCACTCTCTGTGGTGGGGACTGTTCTGGGCATCACAGGAGGTGGGCAGCACCCCGGCCTTCACCTGCCTCTATCTGCTTGATGCCAGCGGCTTTTCTCTCCTCCCCATGCCCCGCCGCCAGCCCCGGGCAACAGAGACGTCTCCAGACACTGCCCAGTGTTTTCCTGTGCACCGGCAGCACCACCAGATGATGGAATCACAGGCGGCAAGGAGCCTGGGTCCCTGAATCCCATGGGGAAGAGACCTCTGCTGTGTCCATGCCTGCACTTCTGGAGGCGTTCACTGGGGACGCTAGCGCATCTCTAACAAATACAATGCTCGGGGTAGGAGGGTTGAAAAGATCAGAAACAAAAAGGGGGAAAACACCCAGCTCTTAGGACCCAGAACTCAGAGTTGTCACATGTTCACGCAAATCCTTCTAGTTTTGTTTTCTGGAATTTTATATACATCTATCTTCATTTATTTATTCATTCAACAACTACTTTTTGAGTGCATACCATGTATATCTCTATATACTTTAATTCATGTAATTTCATAAATAAAATACATAAATGGATTCTTGGGAAAAGTCAGTTCCTCAATTCTATTTTGATCTAGTTCCTCTGCCAGGAAAATTCTTCCTGTAGGACCAAACTATGGATGAAGTTTCGTATGTATCCTCCCAGCTATGTCCATAAAAAATATATATATATAATACATATAACGTATATATATATCTCACAGCATTTACAAAATGTATAAATGCTAACATACCATACATATCCTTCACTGTGTCTTTTCCTTTCAGCAATATATTGTAAAATCTCATGCACATAGATACACATTGGTAGACAAGAGCACTTCAAAAAGCTTGTGGAAAATGGAATTGGGGCCGGTGCTGTGGCGTAGTGGATAAAGCCACCTCCTGCAGTACCAGCACCCCATATGAGCACCAGTTCAAGTTCTGACTGCTCCACTTCCGATCCAGCTCTCTGCTATGGCCTGAGAAAGCAGTGGAAGATGGCCCAAGTCCTTGGGCCCCTGCACCCACGTGGGAGACCCAGAGGAAGCTCCTGGCTCTGGATCGGCACAGCTCCACCGTTGTGGCCATCTGGGGAGTGAACAGTTGGGACCAAAGACCTCTCTCTCTCTCTCTCTCTGCCTCTGCCTCTCTGTAACTCTGCCTTTCAAATAAATAAATCTTAAAAAAAGGAAAATGGAACTAAAAGATTGTTTTGCTTCAGAAATTTTTGCCATGCATTCTAAGCATCTTCAAAAAGTTCATGGAGAGGCAGGTTTTTGGTGCAGCTGTTAAGACACAGCAGGATGTCTGCAGCCCATGTTGGAGTGCCTGGGTTGGAGTCCTAGCTCCACGTCCAAGTCCAGCTTCCCGAGAATGCTCACCTTGGGAGGAATAGGTGTGACCCCAGTGCTCTCACTGCTATCCATGCAGGAGACCTGGATGGAGCTCTTGGCTTTATTTATTTATTTATTTATTTTTTGACAGGCAGAGTGGACAGTGAGAGAGAGAGACAGAGAGAAAGGTCTTCCTTTTCCATTGGTTCATCCCCCAGTGGACGCTGCGGCCAGCTGATCCGAAGCCAGGAGCCAGGTGCTTCTCCAGTCTCCCATGGGGTGCAGGGTCCAAGCACTTGGGCCATCCTCCACTGCACTCCCGGGCCACAGCAGAGAGCTGGCCTGGAAGAGGGGCAACCGGGACAGAATCCGGCGCCCCGACCGGGACTAGAACCCGGTGTGCTGGCGCCGCAGGATTAGCCTGGTGAGCCACAGCGCCGGCCACTCCTGGCTCTTGCGTTTGGTCTGGTCCAGCCCTGGCTGTTGTGGGCCTTTGAAGACTGAACCAGTAGATGAAAGCTCTCTCTGTCTCTCTCTCTTTTTTTTTTAAAGATTTATTTTATTTGAAAGAGTTAGAAGGAGAGAGAGAGAGACAGAGAGAGATCTTCCATCCACTCGTTCACTCCTCAGATGACTACAATGGCCAAGGCTGAGCTACCAGGAGCCAGGAGCCCCAACTGGGTCTCCCATGTGGGTGCAGGGGCCCAAGCACCTGGGCCATCTTCTGCTGCTTTTCTCAGGCCGTTAGCAGGGAGCTGAATTGGAAGTGGAGCAGCTGGGTCTCGAACCCAGCACCCATATGAGATGTCAGCATAGTAGGCAACACCTTTACCCACTATGCCACAATGTCGACCCCGTCTTTCTGAATTTTAAGTGGAATGAAAAGTTGATAAATTTTTTTAAAAATGTAAGTTCATGTTTCAAAAATGTATATGTAAAAAAAACTCTATGCATGGATTTCAAATTTTTTATATCAAATTAAATTTATATTAGAGTCCTATTTTCCATAAACTGTTTGAGGTATTCTCATTTATCTCTTTCTTTAAAAGGTTTGTTTATTTATTTTATTTGAACAGCAGAGCAACAGAGAGATCTCTGTCTACTGGCTCACTCCCCAAATGCTCACAATACCTGGGGGTGGGCCAAGCCGAAGCCAGGAACCAGAAACTCCGTCTGTGCGGTGACAATTCCCCCAGTCACCGTCTACCTTGCGAGCGCTGGAGCACGGCTCTGCCGCCCGTTGGCTTCCCTGACCCCTGCCTCACACCGCTGAACCGGCCCCTTGCTGGAGCTCGTCTCGGTTTCACAATTTGCCTGAGGCAGGCACCAACATCTGGAGTCAGCCCTCAGCCACCAGGGCGTTGGTTCCAGGACCCCATGGGTACAGAACCCCACAGACGCTCAAGTTCTTCCTGCAAACTGCCTGATGGCGTACTTGCAAATAAACTATCCAGGTCCTCCCACACTGCAAATCCTCCTGGCTTACTTAGAGCACCCAAGACAACACCCACGCCATGGAAACGGGTGTTGTCTATATTTATAGAACAATGGCAAGGAAAACCCCCTATCGGTGTCAGTCCAGAGATAGTAATTGTACATCTGCCTCTGTTCTCCAGCCAGAGTTGGTTTAGGGAAAACAAAAGACAGATAAGCTCACATCAGATGTGGAACTACTCAGCAGGGTCACCTCCAAGAGCAGGGGGAATGTGGGGCCCTTTCATTCTGGGGCTACACAGTTCTGTAACGTTTGGGACCACGACACCGGGCCTTACTTTTTTGTTTTTGTTTCTTGTTTTTTTTTTTTTTTTTTTTTTTTTTTGACAGGCAGAGTTAGACAATGAGAGAGAGACAGAGAGAAAGGTCTTCCTTCTGTTGGTTCACCCCCCAAGCAGCTGCTATGGCCAGCGCTGCGCTGATCTGAAGCCAGGAGCCAGGTGCTTCTCCTGGTCTCCCATGGAGTGCAGGGCCCAAGCACTTGGGCCATCCTCCACTGCCTCCCTGGGCCATAGCAGAGAGCTGGACTGGAAGAGGAGCAACCAGGATAGAATCTGGCGCCCCAACTGGGACTAGAACCTGGGGCGCCGGCGCCGCAGGCGGAGGATTAGCCAAGTGAGCCGCGGCGCCGGCCTCCGGGCCTTAAGCTTTTACACACAGGAACAAAATGATCGACACCTAAGCGGGGATCCTGAAGGGCTTCCCGGCCACTACTCAGTCGCAAGGACACTCAGGCTGGCGTTTCTGGAGCGGGGGCATCCCTGGGGCACTCCTCCTACCTCGGGTGTGTAAACGTAGGCCGCTTGGAAGCCTCCGGAAATGAACGCCCTCGCGATGAACAGTAACAGAGTGAGCACATTTCTAGGGGGGGAGGGGAGAGAGCAGAGGAGCCGTCATGTTTCCTGTCTGCTGCTTTCCCGGGGGCGGAACGTGCATCTGGGCAATCAGCAAAGATGGCCATCGCCCCACGCAGCACACACCTGTGCACACCAGGGGGCGCACACACCCGCCACTCACTCCCCAGAGCATCAGGCTGAGTGATGGGGACGTCCGTGGTGCCCGGGTTTGGGAGAAGCGCTCTAAGTAACCCGAGCTCAGGGAGGAGCTCGTAGAGGCCAGGATGGAGCCAGGAGCCACTTGTGCTCGGGAAAGGAAGCTGCCACTCGGTGACTTCCAGATAATCCTGACCCCAGCTCTCTGCTCCACCGCTGCCATGAATGCCCCAGGACCCCAGCATCTCAGGGTCTCAGCTGCACCTCCCGGCCTTCAAGCTCTGGCTCAGAGATGCCTCCGTGGGTTTGATCTGGGGGCTTCCGGAGGTCCAGGGAGGCAGAGGCCACTCCCACACTTTGAGGCTCTTGTTAGATGGAAAGACGGGGACAGGCCCAAAAGGCCTGCACAACGGGGCCTCTCTGTGACGAGGTCCATTCAGGTGAGCCAATCAATACTTCTAACAGATCCGTCAGTTACACAGCAGGGTGCCCAATCAAGCAGCCGGGAGATGAGTCTACCCTGGACGTCTTTAGAGGACAACCAGGCCCCAGATACCCTCCAGCCCCCCGACCAGGGGCTCCCACCTCGAGCCTGAGCTTTGGCTACCAGTGGGGCAGCCACAAGCCTCATGCGGGACTGGGCCCCCCACCCCTCCGCCGCGGACCCACCTTCCAACACAGATGAACAGCAGGAGGCTGCAGAAGGAAAAGACAACGAAGCACAAGGCCATGGTCTTCTTGCGGCCCAGGCGGTCGATGATCCACAGAGTCACCAGGACACCTGCCGGGGGGCGAGGGGGCAGGAGGGCAGCTCTGGTGGGGTTAGGTGGTCCTCCCCGCCAAACACAGCAAAAGTGCTGGGAGGTCCCCCAGGGACTAGGCTATAGAGCACCTGATTTCCAACGTGCCAGTATTCAGACTCTCTCTCTCTCTCTCTCTCTCTCTCTCTCTCTCTCTCACACACACACACACACACACACAGCCATGGGCGTGAGCGTGGGAGCAGGCTCTGCCCCTGCCGGGTGCTCAGATGCGGGCCCACGCCCCGAGCTGAATCCTTGATGGAGGCCAGGTGAGACACACTGAAGCACTGGGTTCTGGACGCCGCTCCCAGGATCCTGACCCACAGCCCCTGTGGCATCGTGACGGTGCCGGTCTGAGCCCTGGGATTCAGGCACAACCTGGCCACAGAGGATGAGCACAGGCCCCAGGCCGCATTCACTGAGTTCAGACCGCAGATTCTGGGGCCAGGAGTCAGAGACACCTGGGTTCTACGGTGCCACCTTGCATGGAATTTGTCATGTGGTCTTGGGCCAGTTCCTCGCCTTCTCTGAGCCTCAGTTGTCCCATGTGTTAAAGGGGACTGAAAAAATACCCTATTCTCCCTGACTCAAGGGAGGCAGGACAGCAGAATGCTTATTATTACCGATGACAATTAAACTTCTTGGGTTAAGCAGTCTTACATCTGTTATCTTGTTTAATCATCAAAGCAACCCTCTAAAATAAATGCTGGTAGCAGGTGCGAAGCAGCAGGTTAAGAAGCCCTTGGCCCCTGGCAGAGTGCCCGGGTTCGATCGCTGCCTCTGGCTCCTGACTCGTTACCATCCTATTAATGCAGACCCCGGAAGGCAGCAGCGATGGTTCAAGGAGTTGGGTTCTTGTCACCCGCGTGGGTGACCAGGATTGGGTTTTCAGCTCCTGGCTTCAGCCCCAGACCAGTCCACAGGGCTGTTGTGGGATTTGGGGAGGGGGAACTAGTGGATTGGAGCTCTGCCCCTCAAATAAATAAAAAATAAGCAAATCCTCATCCCGTCTATTCAATCCGTAAATTAGGTGCCTACTGTGTGCCAGGAACTAGCCTAGGAGTTTGGGATGTGCAAGGGACCAAAAAGCAAATAAAATAAGCACAAGAAAAACGTGACTTTGAGAGAGCAAATCAGACACAGCGAGGGCTTAGAATAAGGGAACCGTCACAAGGCAGGCGCGGCCGAGGAGGGCATGGTTACTGGCCCTTCGCTGACTGGCTCCCTGTCTTGCCGTGTGATCTCTCCTGTTCACGTGCCCTCCTGGCATTGTAATGTCACCCATCACGAGGTCCTCACGAGAGGCACCCGTGCTCGAACCTCCGGGACTGTGAGCGAAGTAAACCAGCCTCGGGTGTTTCATTGCAATAGCAGAAGATGGACTGATCCATTCTGCCGCATTGCACATTCGTCACACACCAAGCGTCCACCCGAGTTCTTCCTCGTCCTCCCCGTGGGACTCAGGATCAAGGAGAACTGACACTGATTTACTGCTCCTCCTGATTTCTGTAATGGTCTTTGTCTCCCACCCAGGAGGCTCGCATCTTCTGCCAGCAGGCATGAAACCTGGAAGCCTAACTCGTTACCCTGCAAGGAGGGTAAAACATCAATCCCTTCGTAGTCGTGATTGGGGGATTTGCTTGCAGGTGCACAGACGGAGCCGCCAGGTAAATGGCCGTTGTCCGCCCAGGTTTCCCCGTGCTGGCCGCACCTTGCACGGACCGCTCACCTGGAAACTCTGAGAGGGTGGTCCACAGCAGGTCCATGTAGTCCTCCTCGCTCAGGTACTCGCACGCCAGGCTGCACTTCACCTCCACCGCCTTCTTCCTGCTGGAGACTGGGGGCGAGAGGAAGAGCCAGGCACAGAGCCTTGGGTCACAGCCCGCTCCCCAGGCCTGCTTCCTCCGGTGGGACGCAGGTGGAGTGCCACAGGGAAAGCCTGGGGCAGGCGCTGTGGCGTGGCGGGTAAAGCTGCCACCTGCGATGCCGGCATCCCATATGGGCGTCAGTTTGAGTTGTTGATTCGAGTCCCAGCTGTTCCACTTCCGATCCAGCTCCCTGCTAATGGCCTGGGTAAGCAGTGGAAGATGATTCAAGTCCTTGGGCCCCTGCACCCACGTGGGAGACTCAGAAGGAAGCTCCTGGCTCCTGGTTTCGGTCTGGCCCAGCTTTCTGAGATGTACCCAGACCCCTGACCCTTGGAACTACTCACACTTCCCCACCCCCTTTAAGCAAATGACTCAACCCTAGCCAAGAGTAACCAGACTGATGCAACTCCCAACTGATTGGATGGTGACACAATGGCTTGAAAGCCCAGACACATGGACTTTTCTTTTGTCCCAATCATACAACAGGGTCACCTGGGGAGCTTTTAAACACTGCGCAGGCCTGGGCCTCAGCCCACCAGAGGTCCTGTTTAAATTGGTCTGGGCAGGGTCTGAAAACTCCACAGGTGATTTCTCTGATGTGGCCCGGATGGAGATCCAACCTGCTTCTCCTACACATTAGCACTGCTGTGCGGGATCACACCCACACACCCTGAGGGCTGCACTTCCGTGGGGTTCTTTAGGGGGTTTTCAGTGATCATTTTAACCTACAGGCAATTTCCACCTGACGTGCTGTTAGCAAAATGCAATTGGGTGGCAGCTCCAGTGTTCTGGGTTCCCTAGTGAGCAAACTGAAACCCAACTCCAAGTGACTCAACCAATCAGAAGCTGCCTCCCAGCCTCTTCTACTGTAAGGCAACTGTTCCTCTTTAATCAGTCATTTTCTCCCCCTTACTTCTGCGTGTACCTGCTGTGCAGGTTTATGGGAGGTCATTGCCTTGGCCTCTGGTGCCAGGCCCTAGCAGCTCACACCACATCAGAATGGAGTCCCTTGTGCCAAACGACCTAATCCAACTTGACCTTGAAAGGGGGCAGTTTTCCAAAAGCAGGTGATTCACAACGACCAATCAGAGGGGGCCTAGGTTACCTGCGCTGGCCTAACCAGGAAGTCACCTCTGCTTCACCACCATCAGGCGAGGGGCTTTGAAATGGCCGATCGGCTTTGTGTTCCATTTCTGCCCTCTTCAGCCCTTGGCCCCTGTGCCCCCTCCCCCAGCTCGGCTCATCAGCACACTCATTCTATTTTATAGAATGAAGCTTTGTCCAGTTCTAGAACAGCAAATAAAAGCCAATGAATGAATCTCTAACTTTAGTGTAATAAGTCGGTCTTCTGGAACTTGGAAAAGTTCTCTCTCTGCACCCCTTCGGTGGAGCCCACACCACTTGTAGTTTGGTGCTTGCCCAATTCATGAATCACTATTGCCCAAATCCACTCTAAAATTTCAATGTGTCTTCGTTTATCTTTATAAACCTTTTAAAAATTTATGTATGAGAAAGAGAGAGAGCTCCCAGCTACCAGTTCACTCTCCAAATGCCTGCAACAGCTGGGGCTGGGCCAGGATAAAGCCTGGAGCTGGGGACTCCAACCAGGTCATCCACGCAGGGGTCAGGAAACCATCACCAATGCCTCCCAGCGTCTCCCTCAGCAGGAAGCTGGAGCTGGGGACTGCACCCGGGCACTCTCACACAGACGTGGGCCTCTCGGCTGGCATCTCACTGCTCAGCTAAATGTCTGCCCAGTCTATCTTTTAGACATGTTAACTTCAGGACTCAAACCCTGACGCAAGGTGCCGCTGTGCTAATGTGAGCTCCAACACGATCAGATTGTCCAGAACACACTGGGAACTGCCGAGTCTGCCCCCGACCCTGTCGGGGTGGGAGAGTGTGTGATGATCGGTGCAGGGGTGGGCGTGGTTGAGAGGAGGGTGGTACTCACTGCTGCAGACGTCACCCGCCTGGAAGAGTTCTGTGGTCAGCAGCACGAGTCCATAGTAGGAGAACGCATTGGAAAACCTGCCAGGAAGCAAGGGGAGGGGAGAAGAAGCCATCAGAGAAATGCAAGTCCTGGGGAGGGACCTGTGTCTGCAGCAGTGGGGACCCATCCGGGGGTCTTTGGGGGTCTTACTGGGGGCTTTTGTCAGGTACCAAGCATAGTGACACAATGAAAGGAAGTGTCCTGTGTCCAGAAACATCCTTCCTCCAAGACTTGTCTACCCAGCTGAAATCGGGGTTGGGGGGAGGGGAAGGTTTGGGAGACCGACATCGGGATGAACATAGCTCCACTGACATCTGTACTGGTGTCGGGGTCCGGCTGGCCAACTCGGGCATTGTGATTTTAAGGTCTCAGGGTGGGACGGCACAGTTTCTGAATTCCTGGGTGACTCCAGAACTAGAAGGTTCAAGTTTGCAGAACCAGAACCCCATCATCGCAGGATACGGGGGAAGTCGGTCACCACCAGAAGCCGATGGCTGATGTCCTTGGGTTCCAATCTGTGCCGGCCAGTGCAGCTGGGGTGCACTAACATTAGTGTCTAATCAGGTGCACCAGGATTCCAGTAGAGCCAGCCCAGCTGAATTACAGGCACCCAAAGCAAGCTATTCGCAACCCCTCTACAACACCCCTTCTAAAAATCCTGTGGACTCTACACACGTGTGGGCACACAGCAGGTGCTTACTAAATGCTTGATGAGTTGATTCAGGCTCTCAGGAATGCGAGGGCCAAGCTGGAGCCCAGGTATGTATATTAGCAAGGCTTCTCCTTCCTGGTCCCTGTGTGTGACCCCGTGTGGGACACTCCCCTGCTAATTAGCACCTCCACTCAAAGGTGAATTAGAAAAGTGAGAACTGGTTTTATTTAAAAACAAACCCACAGGCCGGCGCCGCGGCTCAATAGGCTAATCCTCCGCTTAGCGGCGCCAGCACCCCGGGTTCTAGTCCCGGTTGCCCCTCTTCCAGGCCAGCTCTCTGCTGTGGCCCGGGAGGGCAGTGGAGGATGGCCCAAGTGCTTGGGCCCTGCACCCCATGGAGACCAGGAAAAGCACCTGGCTCCTGGCTTCGGATCAGTGTGGTGCGCGGGCCGCAGCGCACTGGCCACGGCAGCCATTGGAGGGTGAACCAACGGCAAAGGAAGACCTTTCTCTCTGTCTCTCTCTCTCACTGTCCACTCTGCCTGTCAAAAAACAAAACAAAACAACAAAAACCACAAAACTTTAAGCCAGGCCAATTTTGAACACTGTTGATCCTCTCTGTGTACATGAATTGGTAGAGGGTCGAGAGAGTGAAGAGTGGCGGAAATTCTACTGGTTTTGGAGTTGAAGGTCATTACTCTCTGCTAATGCCTCTCCCTCAGCCTCCTGCCCCACTGTTCTTTCCGAGCTGAACAGGAACAGGACTCCAAGTTCTCAGGATTCCCATGTTGGCCAAATCAGTGGTTCCTAAAACATGGCCCAGGGGCCAGCTGCAGTACGCAGGGCCCCATGGGCAGAGAGCAAGACACTGGCATGGAGTTAACTATTAAATCTTACTGGGTGAGCCAAATTCCCTTCTATGTTTCCTTAAATTCTTCTGGATGCTATCCCAGCCTCATCGATGGGCTAATGTGTCCTCAATGCCTTCCTCTCCTCTTCATCTCTTGTTTTTCATGCTATTAGTTTGCAAAATTATATGTATCACTTTTTAAATATTTTTCTTTTTTTAAGATTTATTTTATTTATTTGAAAGACAGAGTTATAGAGAGAGGGACAGAGAGAGAGGTCTTCTATCCGCTGGCTCACTCCCCAGATGGCCGCAACGGCCGGAGCCAGGAGCTTCTTCCGGGTCTCCCATGTGGGCATAGGGGCCCAAGGACTTGGGTCATCCTGTACTGCTTTCCCAGTCCACAGCAGAGAGCCAGATCAGAAGAGGAGCAGCCAGGACTCGAACCAGTGCCCATGTGGGATGCTGGCACCTCAGTCCAGGGCATCAACTCTGCGCCACAGCGCCGGCCCCAAATATTTTCATTTTAAAAGCAGAGAGACAGAGACCTTTCATTTGCTGATTCATTTCACAAATGCTCACAGCAGCTAGGGCCAGGCCAGGCTGAATCCAGGAGCTGGGACCCCAACCCCCTCCCATGTGGGCAGCAGGGTCGTGAGTACTTGGGCCATCGCCTGCTGCCTCCCAGGGTGCACATTAGCAGGAAGCTGGGACTGGAAGTGGAGCCAGGACTTGAACCCAGGCGCTCTGATGTGAGATGTGGGTGTTCCCAAGAGGCCCCAAGCGCCCGGCCCGTGCGTCTCTTAGGTCTGAGTCCTTGGTACCGTGGCAGCCCCAAGAGCGGCTCGTCTCTACGGCTGCCGGGAACACGCTTTCTGGTGAAGCAGAGGAACACATCCTCCGTGTCCCAGGTCTCACTTTCCGTGGTTTTAGTTACCTGCAGCCAACCACGGACTGAAAATATTACATGGAAAATTCCAGAAACAAACAATTCATCAGTTTTGACTTGGGGGCTGCTCAGAGTAGCTCGACGGAGTCTCTCACCACCCTGCTCCGTCGCGAGTCATCTCCTTATCCAGCGTGTCCACACTGTGTCCGCTGCCCGCCCGTCGGTTGCTTAGTAGCTGTGTTGCTCATCAGATCGACTGTCACGTTACAGGGCTTGTGTGCAGGTAACTCGTATTTGACGTAATCAAGTTAAGCTGCCGCCTGCAACGCCGCCATCCCATAGGAGCACCAGTTTGAGTCCCAGGTGCTGCACTTGCAATCCAGCTCCCGCTAATGTGCCTGCAAAGGTGGCCCAAGTACATGGGCTCCCGCCACCCACGTGGGAGGCCCGGATGGAGTCACCCAAGCTCTACCTCCCAGTGCTTCCGGTACTCTCCACGGCTCCCGGCAGCCCCTGGGGGTCTCTGACCGAGACCCCCAGAGATAAGGGAGGACCACTGGAGAAAGTTTCCTTTGTCAGAACACTCCTCTAAGTCATTGGTGAGTCAAGTTTGAAAAAATCAAAGAAATAACCGTTCAGGTGATCACCCGGGTACCGCAAAAGCCCGACGGGGCGTGCAAACCGTTGACGTCATCAGCAAACGGTGCCTCGGGCCCACGGGCGCTCCCAGCAGGGAATTAAGACAAATGCCCGGCCTGGACGCAGGGCAGGGGTCACGCGGTCAGCAGGGCTCTCACCATATAAACCACAGCAGCAGCGTCGTCCATCGGAAGTGGGGGGTGAAGAGGTCGCGCATTTTGCCTCGGTCTGCCTGTTGCGAGACAAGGACGCGGGTTTAATCTCCCCCTCCATGCTGTCCAGCACCAGCGGGCGGCCTGGACAGGGGCGTACCCACCTGCTCGGGGAACCCAGGGCTCAGATCCACACCCGTCCTGCCAGCCAGGACCCACCCAAGGGCCAGAAGATGGAGCCATCCCATGTCACTCACCCCTGAAACCCATCACGGCTCTGGGGCGGTCCCAGGGGCCCAGGGAGCAGAAAAACAGTCCAAGGGAGTCCCACCATCACACACACACACATACACACAAATGCACACACATACACACACGTACACACATATGTACACACATACACACATACACATACACACAAATACATATGCACACACATACACACTGTCTCACACACCTATACACACATACACACATACAATCCAGCTCCCGGTAATGTCATACACATATACACACATACACACATATACATACATATGCACACACATACACACTGTCTCACACACATATATACACATACACACATAGTCTCACACACACATACACTCTACTCACACACTAACACACACGCTCTCACAATATGAATGCACACAACACTCATACTCACACATGCACACACATACACACTCACACACACGGGTATGCTCTCTCTCACACACACATGCACACACACTCAAACTCACTCTTCCTCCCCCCAAATCTGCTCTAAGCCAACGTGACAGTTACTGTGCTCAAAAACCAATCCACTTAAGGCCAATTTGCCAATAGATGGATTTGCTCAGTGACTCACTTGCCAATTTTTTGTGAAGATTTATTTATTTGAAAGGCAGAGTTACACAGAGAGAGAGAGACAGAAACAGAGACAGAGAGATCTTCCATTTGCTGCTTCACTCCCCACATGGCCACAATGGCCAGGGCTGGGCCAGGCCAAAGCCAGGAGCTTCTTTTGGGTCTCCCACAGGGTGCAAGGGCCCAAGCACTTGGGCCATCTTCTGCTGTTTTCCTAGGCACATTAGCAGGGAGCTGGATCAGAAGGACTGGAACCAGCGTCCTTAATTCGATGCCAGTTTCTTACGAGACAACTTAAATTGCTGGCCAGCGCTGCGGCTCAACAGGCTAATCCTCCGCCTAGCGGCGCTGCCACACCGGGTTCTAGTCCCGGTGGGGGCACTGGATTCTGTCCCGGTTGCCCCTCTTCCAGTCCAGCTCTCTGCTGTGGCCCAGGAGTGCAGTGGAGGATGGCCCAAGTGCTTGGGCCCTGCACCCCATGGGAGACCAGGAGAAGCACTTGGCTCCTGCCTTCGGATCAGCATGGTGCGCCAGCCGCAGCGTGCCAGCAGTGGCGGCCATTGGAGGGTGAACCAAGGGCAAAGGAAGACCTTTCTCTCTGTCTCTCTCTCTCACTGTCCACTCTGCCTGTCAAAAAAAAAAAAAAAAAAAAACACTTAAATTGCTATGCCACAAAACCAGTCCACTTGCCAATCTTATATATTTGCCAAGTATCACTCTTTTGCTCTATAATGTTCTTTTAAAATCATATTCCACAGTTGTGATTATATTCTTTTTAGGAATATTTAAAAAAAAAAAACAACAAATTGTTCTTAGTAGCACTTTGGGAAGTGCTTGCTGTTTAAAAATATTGAACGGTAAAAAAATAAATAAATAAAAGGAGGGGCTGCCTAGTGGTTAAGACTCTGGACTGGGGGGCTAGAGCTGTGGCACACTGAGTTAAAGCTCTGGCCTATGGTGCTGGCATCCCATATGGACACTGGTTCAAGTCCCGGCTGCTCCTCTTCCAATCCAGCTCCCTGCTAACGCTCCTGGAAAAGCAGCAGAAGATAGTCCAAGTCCTTGGGCCCCTGCACCTATGTGAGAGACCTGGAAGAAGCTCCCAGCTCCTGGCTTCGGATTAGCCCAGCTTTGGCCATTGCAGCCATTTGGGGAGTGAACCAGCAGATAGAAGACCTCTCTCTCTCTCTCTCTCTCTCTCTCTCTCTCTCTGTGTGTGTGTGTGTGTGTGTGTCTACCTCTCTCTGTAACTCTGCCTTTCAAATAAATAAAATAAAAAGACCTTGGATTGGGATGGTTGCCTGTCATATCAGAGGGCCTGGGTTCGAATCACAGCTCCACTCCTGATTCCGACTTCCTGCTAATGTGCACCCTGGGAGGCAGGCAGCAGTGACAGCTCCCATGGTTGGGTGGCTTCCACCTACCTGGCTTTGGCTGTTATGCTCTCTCTCTCTCTCCCCCCCCCCTCCTTGATTCACAAATAAAATAAAATAAATAAAACTTTTTTAAAGTGAGAAAAGATTACAGGTCAAAGGTGGTTTAGTCTGCTAAGGAATATTGTCTTCATGGACAAAAGTATTTCTGTAATACATTCTTGAGTAAGAAGATAAATCCATTAGGTATTTATCAAGCATATTTGAGAAGGTTTGTATTTTTTGAATGTATTTGGGAATAGATTCATGAAAATACTTAGAAATAGATTAAAGGGGGCCGGTGCCGTGGTGCAGTAGGTTAATCCCCCGTCTGCGGCACCAGCATCCCATATGGGCGCCGGTTCTAGTCCTGGTGGCTCCTCTTCCAATCTAGCTCTCTGCTATGGCCGGGAAAGCAGTAGAGGATGGCCCAAGATCTTGAGCTCCTGCACCTGTGTGAGAGACCTCGAAGAAGCTCCTGGCTTCAGATCGGCACAACTTCGGCCATTGCAGCCATTTGGGGAGTGAACCAGCGGAAGGAAGGCCCTTCTCTCTCTCTCTCTCTCTCTCTCTCTCTCAAATAAATAAATAGAATCTTTTTTAAAAATAAATAGATTGATGACACATTTATAGAAATAATACAGGTGCAGAGATGGGCCAATACACTCGGCCTTGGTTCTATTCCCAATGCGAATGGCTGGGCTCTAGGACCCTCTGAGGACATGGAACCCACAGACGCTCAGTCCCTTATATACAACGACAGAGTGTTTATGTAGAGAGAGGAATCTTGGACCTGCTGGTTCACTCCTCGGGGGGCCAGGCCAGGCAGAAGCCAGGGGACAGGAACTCAGTCCAGGTCTCCCACTGGATGGTAGGGACCCAGGCACTTGAGTCATCGCTGCTACCCTACAGGGTGCACATGAACAGGCAACTGGATGGGAACTGGATGTGAGGCTCAACCCTGGGTACTCCCAATGCGTGTTGTGGGCGTCCCAAGCCGTGTTGTAACCACTGCGCCAAACACCTGCCTCCATTGTCTGCCTGAGGGTACTTCTCTTGTTTCTGCTGGCTGCCCGGCTGACTCTTGTTTGTTTATTTGTTTTTGTTTGTTTGTTTGTTTGTTTTACAGGCAGAGTGGACAGTGAGAGAGAGAGAGAGAGGAAGGTCTTCCTTTTCCGTTGGTTCACCCCCCAATGGCCGCTGCGGCGAGTGCACCGCGCTGATCCGAAGGCAGGAGCCAGGTGCTTCTCCTGGTCTCCCATGGGGTGCAGGGCCCAAGCACTTGGGCCATCCTCCACTGCCCTCCCAGGCCACCCACAGCAGAGAGCTGGACTGGAAGAGGAGCAAGTGGGACAGAATCTGATGCCCCAACTGGGACTAGAACCCCGTGTGCCGGTGCTGCAGGTGGAGGATTAGCCTATTGAGCCGCGGTGCCGGCCCTGGCTGACTCTTGAGGGCAGGGGCTGTGGCCTTAAATCCATACCCTTCTCCCTCTGTGTGCAGCGCGCCCACACACAGCAGGTGTTCATAAAACTTGGCTTTGCCCGGTGGTAGTGGTGGTGGGGGTCTATGATGGTGTTACCAGGCGAGCAATGCAGCCCCTCTATTAGAGACGTCTACACAGGGTGTGGTGGGACCCCTGGATCTGAGCTCATCTCTTTCTTCTTTTTTTTTTCTTTTTTGACAGGCAGAGTGGACAGTGAGAGAGAGAGACAGAGAGAAAGGTCTTCCTTTTGCCGTTGGTTCACCCTCCAATGGCCGCTGCGGCCAGCACACCGTGCTGATCCAATGGCAGGAGCCAGGTACTTCTCCTGGTCTCCCACGGGGTGCAGGGCCCAAGCACTTGGGCCATCCTCCACTGCACTCCCGGGCCACAGCAGAGAGCTGGCCTGGAATAGGGGCAACTGGGACAGAATCTGGCGCCCCGACCGGGACTAGAACCCGGTGTGCCGGCGCCGCAAGGCGGAGGTTTAACCTAGTGAGCTGCGGCGCCGGCCTGAGCTCATCTCTTTCTAACACAGTTTTCTTGCACAGCTTTCCCGACCGATCACATCTGCCAGTCAGACTTCCTGGGGCTGAAAGGTGGAGTGGAAGCACGCGTGGTCACAAGCCCCGGGTGCAGGCTTCACATTGCTCCGGTCCCTGGCCGCCTTCTCCCAGTATCCTTTCTAGAACCGGGCGGTGGACAGACACATTGAAGTCACCAGATTCCCCGTGCTGGTCTCATACCGCCCACTGTGCCTCCATCCATCCGCTGCCCACCACACACACACACACACACGCACACACACACGCCTGCCCCATCCCGGGCACCTACACTGCCCACATGCGTGCCCCAGCACACACGCACCCCTGCATGCACGTGGCCACGGGTGCTGCAGAGGCAGCAGGTGTGCACTGACCTGCCTGGAGAGGATGAGCTTCCCCAGGGGCATGGGTGCTCCGTTCTCCGTCGCTATCCTCTTCAAGGTGGCGATGGCCTTCTCCTGGTTCCCCGACAGCACATCGTACCTCGCGCTCTCGGGCAGCCACTGGGGAGGGGGGAGCAGACAGGAGACCCAGGTGGACCCAGTTAAGGCCAAACAGAGCAGTCACTCCCCAGCCACACGCTCTCAAGTCTTGGAGGGTGGGGACTTTGCAGCCAAAGACCTGGCTTCAAATCTGCCACTGTCACTCGGTAGCTGGGCTGTGTGACCCTGTGTGCAGTCAGCTGACCTCTCTGTGCCTCCATCCCCAATCCACAAGATGCGGAGCACAACAGGTCCTGCCTCTTAGGAGTTAGAGAATCCAGGCCAAGCGCTTAACACGGGGCCTGGGCTGGGTCACCGGGGTGGGGACTGGTGGTCGCAGCTGCTGCTTCTGTCATGTGGTGTGTTTCAGAGTTCCAGGGGAGGGTTCCCTGAAATCCAGACCCCGTCAGAAGTCTCACCCCCATCTCTCAAGAAACGATAAGCTCATCTGTGCTCAGCATTAGCCTGCAAACTCCGTCCCAGGGGAGACCAGAAAGACCCCTGGGCTGTGGTCTGATAGGGCGTGGCTCCTGGACTCACGCAGACCTGCATGTGTAAGTCCTACGTTAAAGCCACCAGGAGGAGGACCCTGAATCCAATGATGGTGTTGGGAGGCGGCCTAGTGGGCGGACCTCAGGTGCCCAGGGGGGGCGTGTCCTTGGAAGACAGATCTCAGGAGAGGGCTGCCAGGAAAGCTTCAGGTAGGCCATTCGTTCTGCTCCTGCCTCGCCATGGGACCCTTCCTCTGGGCGGGCTCTGCCAAGTCACTGGGACCACCTGATCTGGGTCTTGTACCTCCAAAATTGTGAGCTAATGCAACCTTTTCTCTGTGTCAGGTTAGTGGTCTCTGGCACTCCACTGTGGCGAGGGAAAGCTGACTAGTGCAGGCGGAACGGAGTCCCGACCCCAAGTGACCGGATAATGACGGCTCTGTGAACACGAAGCAACAGCCGTCCATGAGACGGCACGCACAGCAGAGAGGAAGCACAATACTGGCGTCAGAAGACCTCATGGGATGAGAGAGCCGTGTTGATTTGCTGCACACCCTTTAACCACCTCTCTGGCCTCAGCTTCCTCATCAGTAAAATGGACACGTTGTAGAGATGCCCCTTTCCACACTGTAGAGTTGTCCCTGGACATGGCTACATCATGGAGTGGGGGCTACATTTCCCAGGGTCCCTTGCAGCTAGGTGAGACCATGTGACTTGCTTTCACCAATGGCATAGGAGCAGATATTCCTGGCTGAGTGTACCGTCTCCCAGCTGCTCTTCCCCAACCTTGTCTTGAAGTAGAAAACTCCAAAGCCATAGAGGATGGCAGAGCCACCTGCTGAACAGAGAACCTGGGCCCAAATCCTATCCACCAGCCAGAACACTCCTCCTCTGTCATGCTAGAGAGAAATAACTTCGTGTTGAGCAGCTGAGTTTGTGGGCATTATTTGTGACAGTGTGTCCCCCTCACTAATATGGGGGTCCATTAGAGTCCTACCTCCTGTGGTTCTTTGCAATAATAAATACAAGAACACCTTCAAAGAGCCGGCATGGAGCCTGCCACACAGTTAAGGTGGGTAACTATTAATACCTGTTGTCGCCAGCAGGAGTCACTGTAGAACCACCCATTCGTGAGAACCTCCCCGCAGGCTCAGCTGGGGGCCCCACTGGCTGTAGTGTGTCCATGCGTGTGGTCTGCCTATGGAATGAGGACTGCGTGACAAGATCTTGCTAGAAGGAGTGATTTACACAGAGCTGAGAGGGAGAGATCGTGGGAGCTCCTGGATCCAGCTATGCCTGAAGCCAGATATCGATCCCTCTCTTTTATTCAAGTCAGCGTGAATCGGTTTTCTGTCACTCGTAATTTAATCCTGTATAGCCCCTGTAGGTGTCAACAATGGGGCCTGTGTATCCTCTCCTCCCTAGTTCTCTCCTTAGAGGACACCCCAGAAGTGTCTGCCCAGCACCCCATCCTGGGGCTCGCCCAAGCCTCATTCCCTTGTCTCACTTCCTGATTTAAAGACATAGTCTTACAAGGTGGCTTTGGTGTCCTCCTGCGCCTCCGCCCCACCAAATCACAGTGGACAGCCGCAGACCTCTGCGAGGGTACTCACGAAGCACAGGACGGCAAAGAGCAGGAGTGGGACCGCCGAGAGGATGAGCAGCCAGCGCCAGCCCAGGCTGGGCATCACGAACACAGCCAGGATGACCTCGAACACCGTCCCGATGGCCCAGAACACCTGGCGCGGGAGAAGCAGGGTCAGCGGAGCGGGGAGCGCGGCCCTCCCAGCGAGCAAGTTCAAGGTCATCAGGCACAAGGGTAGTTGATACGGTGCATGAGGCTGAGCCAGGCCTGGGGGCCCGTCCTTTCCCTGTGGTTCACATGCTGGGGCCACGGCCAGACCTCGCTGACCGCCGCCCCAGGCTGCCGCCCGCACTGTCACATTCACATATCACTGACTGTGGCCGGGCAGCAGGGCAGCTCTGGTTGTGGAGATGAGTAGGGCAGTGGACATGGCATTGGCACCGCATCCTCAAAGTTCATCCAGGTGCCAGAATCCCTGTCCTTTTGAAGGCTGAGTAATATTCCATTGCATGGACATAGCCGTTTCCTTATCCGGATGTCTACCGGTGGATACGGGTTGCACGCACATCTTAGCTACCGTAGATCATGCAGCCGTGAGCATGGCTTGCAACAGACCCATTGGTTTTTGTCTATTGACATCCATTGCCCTTGCTCAACAGCGCCCCCCAGTGCTCTGTATCAGAAATGCCCAACTGGGCTGAATACCTTCTCTGCCTCACCAAGTCTCTCTCCACCGTTTCCCACTTTTGTATGGAAAAGGATGTCCTCCGGGTGCGATGAGGGGCCTCAGGAGAGGTGGCAGTGGGGGAGGAGGGAGAGGTTGGGGCGTTCATTCCTCCGGCTTCCTCCCTGCAGGGTGGCCGTGAGCCGGCTGCTTCAAGTGCAGGTCAAAGCCCTCATCTAGCAGCCTTCACCTAGAACTCTCTGAGCGGCTAAGAAATGCGCTCTCCTCTTGCCCCTGGAGGCCTGGGGTGAGGATACCCCCACGGGGACTTCAGCGGTCCTTGGATTAAGCCCTCCTCCAAATGATGCTACTCTGGGCGTGCTGTTTCCTGCCAGACCCCGGCTTTACAACTACTGTCCGTTCCAAAACCCGATCCGCCACCTTCCCCACTGGCTCTGGAGAATCAGGGGTGACTGTCAACACCCCTGATGACCTGGCGCACAAGGGCACTGCCCAGTCAGACTGGACACCGGCCAGACACCCCACCCCCACTCTGCCACCAATGAATGTTTAATTGCTGCACACGGGAAGCTGTCGGGCGCCCGAGGGGTGGACAGGATGTTGGGCAATGAGAGGCGGTCAGGGTGTGGGATCAGCTGCAGGTGCACTTCATTATGTAGATGACGTGGACAGTGTGGCCCTGCTGGCCACCATGCTAACTGGACTGGCGTGGTGGTTAAGTGGGGGCTGTGGGGTCAACAATCAATGTTGCCAGGGTGGCCCCAGTGACCGGGGACTCTGAGTGGCTCCACAGTCACCACTGTGGACGTCAGGGGCAGCTGCACGGAGGGCGTGGCATGGGGCCACGGTATTTGCCCTGCGATCTTTTGATCATGGTTGGAAACTGAGTCACGAGACCCCTGGTTGCAGAGGGGTTGAGGGGGCTGCAGGAGCATGAGCATTTTAGGGCTGCCTATCGGCTGTGGAAGAGACCAAGGAAGGCGATCTCACGCGGGACACGGCCGGTCTGGCTGTGACACAGCAGGTGCGAGGGTGAGGCCTGGGTGTGGGCAGGACCCTGGGCCCACCCCGGCTGCGCCATGCAGCACCAAGGCCATTTTCAGGTCAGGAAGGACGCACCACCTGCCTGCTGCCACTCTCTAAAGGCGGGATCCACTCAACGTTTTGTCAGCTGAAGAATTTATCTGTAGGGTTTTGTCAGCTGAATAATTTATCTATAGGTCGCAACAGCCAGGTCGGATCCACTGAAGTCTTTGCCTGGTGAGTCTGTTAGATTTGTCTTAATCTGAGAACCTCCTGGCAAGATCAGTAGAGACCAGGCTCCCTCCTCCTTACCTCAATCAGCAAAATACACTTCGCTCTGGCTTTGATGGGAAGGAACTCGGCATACAGCGTCACCCTGGGAAAGCAAGGACAGAAATGGGTTTAAGGTCTGGGCCGGGCAGGAAAATCGCCACCGTTTCTTGAATTTCAAGGTCAACATTCCTCCAGGCATGGCAGGTGGGCCTTTTATATCTGAATTTCGTGCGATGAGCAAAAAATATAGAGATCCCGTGGCCTTGGGAAACAGACCCTCCGGGATGGGGGCTTGGCATCAGTATTTTTAACTAAGTCCCCAAATAATTCTCAAATTTCTTAAGACCTGCCATTGAACGCTATTCACAGCCCAAGAAGTCTGGGGAAATAGGACAATGGAATTAGGAGCAACCTCTTGCTTCTGAATCTCTTTTTTAAAAAGATTTATTTTATTTGAAAGGCAGAATTGAATTGAAAGAGAGAGAACCTTCCACTTGCTGGTGCACTACCCAAAGGGATATAATGGCCTGGGCTGGGCCAGGCTGAAGCCCGGAGCCTCTTCCAGGTCTCCCATGTGGGTAGCAGGGGCCCCAGCACTTGAGCCATCCTCCACTGCCTTCCCAGGTGCATTAGCAGGGAGCTGGATTGGAAGTGGAGCAGCCGGGACTTGAATCAGAGTCCACGTGGGATGCCGGCACTGCAGGCGGCGGCTTAACCCGCTACGCCACAGCGCTGGCCCCTCCTGTGACTCTTCATTCTATAGGATGCCCCTCCCCCAGTCCATCTGACAGGTCCTCAGGACCAGACCCAGGCCCTGCGGGGACACCTCGGAGAGACGCCGGGCTCCCCAGCACATCACTTCGGGGGCACCTGAAGGCAACCAATCCCATCACTGGTGACACTAGTCCTCACCGCCGGATCACGCTGGCCCCTGATGGATGTCTCCACTGAGGGCGTTGTGGGGGACGACTTAAAGGATCTGCCAGGGTCCTGCTCCCCACATAGAGCCTTTACCCGCCAGCGTTAGTCCTGGGCTCTTTCTGCCTAAATCAACTACCGCTGCGGCAACGATGGCATTTTAAAATTTCTGTCATTCCTTCCACGTGAATTAGTCGACTTTACACTGTAGGGAAAAGCTTTCTCTTCTCCCCTCTGTCTGGTGTGTCCGTCCCCACGTCCATCCATCTATCTCGCTATTTATTCAATTGGTATGGATTTGTGGATTCACAATTTTTATTATTTAAAACATGCTTATTGAGCTATTTTGTAAAATTTATTTTCATTTACTTGAAAGGCAGACTCACACACACACACACACACGCACACACATATATGAGAAAGAGAGAGGAAGAGAGAAAGAGAGATTTTCCACCCACTGGTTCACTCCCCAAATGCCCGCAACAGCTGGGGCTGGGACCAGCTGAAGCCAGGATCCAGGAACTCCATCCTGATCTCCCGTGTGGGTGGCAGGGACCCAAGTACTTGAGCCATCACCTGCTGCGCCCCCCAAGGGGACACATTAGCAGCCAGCACTTGAACTGGCACTTCAACATGGGATGCTGGCATCACAGGCAGCCTAACCCACTGCACCTTAATGCCAGTACCTGTGCACGTTTATTTAAAAGAGTGAGTTCATACTCAGACTTGCAGTTCCATCTCACAGGTCAAGTTCCTTGTCATCTTCCCAGCCTCCACGTCTATAATAATTCCCTTCTCCGATCTCAGAGATCGGGGGTCACGCCCCTCGATATGCTCACAAAGCCACTCAACCCGTCTACTTGTTTGCTCAGTGGAGCCCACGTCCCAGGTGACAGGCTGCCTCCACCCCGCCTGCCTGCCCTTCCTTTCACTAACTCAGGCTTTGGGGGGAGAAGGGAACCTTCAGCTTCTCCCCTGTGTGCCTTCCATTTTGCTAGGAGGAGAAAAATCTCTCCCCTGTATCTCCCTCCGAAGCCGGGCATCTGAGTTTCAGGATGTCCTCCTGTTAACCCCTGGCCTCTCTTAGAGGGTGGGGGGAGAGGCAAGGGGAGACCAATTTCCTTTAACCGCTTTGAGGCCAGCGGTGTTGGCGACCCACGTGGGCTCCCAGGATCCCTGTCCGAGTCACCGCCCACCCGGCAGCCGCTGCCTGTGACTCCTGCTGTCACCTGCTCTGAAGATGGTTCTTTTTTTATTTTTATTTATTTATTTTTTGACAGGCAGAGTGGACAGTGAGAGAGAGAGACAGAAAGAAAGGTCTTCCTTTTGCTGTTGGTTCACCCTCCAATGGCCGCCGCGGCCGGCGCACCGCGCTGATCCGATGGCAAGAGCCAGGTACTTCTCCTGGTCTCCCATGGGGTGCAGGGCCCAAGCACTTGGGCCATCCTCCACTGCACTCCCTGGCCACAGCAGAGAGCTGGCCTGGAAGAGGGGCAACCAGGACAGAATCCGGCGCCCCGACCGGGACTAGAACCCGGTGTGCTGGCGCCGCAAGGCGGAGGATTAACCTCATGAGCCGCGGTGCCGGCCTGAAGATGATTCTTGAGCAATGGACACTGTGGGATCAGCAGAACAATCCATCTCGGAGATGGATTCAGTTAAAGCGTTTGTCCCTGGATATCTGCACTAAACCATATCGCCACCAGAAGCCAAAACAGCCTGTTAGTCAGCAGGAAGTGGTTCTGATACGTGCAAAGGGAATTGAAAACGTTGTTTCCAGATCGATCGCATCACATACATTTGGCCAAAGTCAAGTCCAACCACTTGTCCACGCCGCTGGTGGTCTTGCACTTTGCTTTGTGTTTGTTCCCGGGGGGCTCCAGGTTTGGGGCGTGCACACCAAGCTGTGACACAAATGGAAGCTGCAGTTGTGACGGTGCCTTGAGAAGCAGGGGGATGGGAGGAGATTGTTCTGCATAGCCCAGGACTTGGGGTGAGCGAGAGAACCAGGCAGAACCTCGCGTTGCAAACTGCAGCAAAGATCTGGGCAGAACGGCTGCCGACCACGTGCACGCAACCAGAGACAGGTTGTCCAGTGGAAGAAACTGACCTGCAGGGACGAAGGTGTCCGCGGACCCCCAACCCGAGCTCCTCCCGTGGTCAGTGAGTCCCGACGTCGCCTGAACCCGCGGCCTGGCTGATCCCCCTCCCCTTTATCATTCCTGCTTCCTGTGCCTTTCACAGGCCCCTCCCACTGTGCAAGGACCCTGCCCGGGGCTCTGTTCCCTTGCACGGGGCCCAGTCCTTGCTTGACAGCTTCTCCTGCATCACCTGTTGCAAGCTGACCTCAGCAATTCCCCTGAGACCGGCGCACATGAAAAGGCCAGCAGGGAGAATCCTCGGGTAATCAGAGGGAAGGCTGCGGGAGTTCTCGTCTTCAGTGTTGTAGGAGCTTCCCCCCATCTCTCTTGTTCACTCTCTCTGTGTTCTCTCTTTCTTAATCTCTTGGTCTCTCTCTCTCCCTCCCTCCCTCCATTTCAATCCCTAGATGAGGTCATACTTAAGAATCTTGAAGGGTGAGCATTCGGGGCAGCTCATAAGGTATCTGCTTGGGGAGCCCGTGTTGTGGTGTAGCGGGTTAAGCCACCGCTTGTGACTGCTGATATCCCATCTGGGCACTGGTTCAAGTCCCGGCTGCTCCACTTCTGATCCAGCTCCCTGCTAATGGCCTGGGAAAGCGGTAAAACATGGCCCAAGTGCTTGGGCCCCTGCACCTACATGGGAGACCTGGAAGAGACTCCTGGATCCTGGCTTTGGATGGGTTCACCTCTGGCCATTGAGGCCTTTGGAGAGTGAATCAGCAGATGGAAGACCTCTCTCTCTCTTTCTGTCTCTTTCTTTCCTTCTCTCTGTAGTTGACTTTCAAATAAAATAAATACATGTTTAAACAAATAATTTTTTTTAAAGATACACACTTGGCACACCCACATCCCATGGCAGAGTGCCCGAGTTCCAGTCTTGACTCCATTTCTGATCCAGCTCCCTGCAAATGCACCTGGGAAACAGCAAATGATGGCTCAAGTCCTTGGGCCCCTGCCACCCATGTGGGAAACCCAGATGAGGCTCCTGGCTCCTGGCTTCAGCCTGGCCCCACCCTGCTGTTGAAGTTATCTGGGGGGTGAATGAGCAGATGGAAACTCTCTCTCTCTCTGTAACTCTTTCAAATAAATGAATCAATCTTTTTAAAAAAGCCAGCAATCTGGCCAGCGCCACAGCTCAATAGGCTAATCCTCCACCTAGCGGCACCGGCACCCCGGGTTCTAGTCCCGGTCGGGGCGCCGGATTCTTTCCCAGTTGCCCCTATTACAGGCCAGCTCTCTGCTGTGGCCTGGGAAGGCAGTGGAGGATGGCACAAGTGCTTGGGCCCTGCACCCCATGGGAGACCAGGAGAAGCGCCTGGCTCCTGCCATCGGATCAGTGCACTGCAGCGCACCGGCCGTGGCAGCCATTGGAGGGTGAACCAATGGCAAAAGGAAGACCTTTCTCTCTGTCTCTCTCTCTCTCACTATCCACTCTGCCTGTCAAAAAATAAAAAAAAAGCCAGCAATCAAATCACAAAATGTCCATCTCATTCCTATATATTTTTTGGTATTCTATATTCACTACCAAGTAGCAGAGAAAACAAATGATATTTGTCATTTGGGGGCTGGCTTACTTTACTTAGCATCATGGTTTCCAGTTGCATCCATTTTGTTGCAAAAGACAGTATTTCATTCTTTTTTACAGCTCAGTAGTATTCCACAGCGTATCTATGCAACAGTTTCTTTATCCAGCCATCAGCTGATGGATATCTGGGTTGATTCAACCAAGCTTTTAATTCCCTCTTCCACTCATTTGTTGAAGCATCCCATACAACCCATCACACACATGAACCATGCTTTCCTTAAAAAGAGCTACCTTTTATTGAGGATTTGGCATGTGCCAAGCACTATTCTAGATGTTTCCATGGATCATCTCACTACATAACAGTCAAGGGGTCAGGTCATTACAGGTCCCGCTGTGTGCCTGTGTGACTTTCACCCCACTTTCCCATCTACATCTACCTGCGACAGAGAAGTTACCCAGGGATGCACAGCTTGTGAATTGTCAGCCCAGGTCTGCCTGTGTGCATGGCCCACCCATCAC